AAGCGTCCCTTCATCGCGCGCGTGAAAGCCGCGTTCAAAAATGGAATCGCTTTCACAGTGACAAACGATATCGCAGAAAGCCCGATCCTGGACAACACCACGCTGCCAAACGGCATCTGCAGGAATTTCGCTTTCGCCAGATGCACGGGAGCCAAAGCACGAAAGTGCAACATCATGCACGAGATCCCGAAGCAATACCAACGTGCTACTACGTGGCAACACGTGCTGGAGCTCCAGCTACGTGCAGCCAGTGGCCAAACAGTCAATTGCCCACAGAACTGGACACAAATTCCAGAGGAAGCCGACACAGAGGAAGACGCAGATTCCGACGACGATAACGGCGGTGGAGGTAGCAGTGGAAAGAAGTCCACGCCACCAAAAAAGAAAGCACGTGTAGACAAGAAGAAGAAGAAAAACTAAGCAGGCTTACATTTTTGAATTTTTCAAACAATTTAAAAGATAAAGAAGAAAATATGTAATTCTCACAAAACCACTAGCCTAAGGCGCAGCTGCACCTCGGCGCCTTGCAACCTACGACTTGTAAAACTAGGAAAAGAAAGATGGAACCAACCATACAAGACTACTTTAAAAAAGTACAGCACGCTACTTTTCTATAATATATAAGCCGCATATGGACATCATAACACACTGCACTAAAAAATACAAAAAACCCAAAAAACAAAAAGCCATAAAATAAAAATTTAAAAAATGGTCTACTCTGGAGTAGACGAAACAAACATCAAGCACCAACTGGTGCTAGCGCATTTCTGTGCCACTGCGAAGCAGTGCCCCTTGCCAACATCTGGTGTTCGTGAGCTACACGACCGGGCCTCAGGCGCAGCGGCGTCTGAAGCGGCAAATCTACAGCAGAGCTCTGCTGGCACTAAGTAAACAAGCACAATGTCTGCAGCAGCACGACAATCTGATCTACTAGTACTAATTTGTAGGCTAAGAAAAAAGAAATCACGAGTGAAAAAAGAAATCGAGAGAAAAAGTCATGCCGTCGTTTGCGTCCCTTGCTGCAGCACGAGCAACAGCTGTTGCTGCACAATCAGCAGCTACAACGGGCATGCTCCGCCCACAATCACGAGAGGAAGCAGTGCAACAACAACATCGCTCCGCAGCAGCCAGAATGCACCTACCACGCAACGGAAAGACCACAGCACGACAAGCACTTCCCATGCAAACGCAGCCGCGAAACGAGAGCACAACCACATCACACAGCGCCCAACTAGGCGGCAACGGTAGGGTAGCTGCAGCTGCAGCTACCCCACCAACCACGACCCTGATCCAGGACAAGAAATTTCTGGATTTCAACGGCCAGCGAAAACAAGCCTTCGATAGGCAAACAAACCCAGACGAGAGGAAGCTACTGCGCCTAGCAAAGGAGCACACCACGCTCACAAAAAACGCAGAAGAATAAGAGCGCTTCAGAGAGTGGCTAGCGACGCGACACGAACCGCCAGTACCCATAAGCCAGAAAATCGGGCACACGCATCTCAAGCTCTACTGCCTCTACATGTCAGACTCAGAACGTGTCGGCACAGCTGTGCTCGAAGCATTCAAGTCTATATCCAAATAAATCACATCACCACCGCTGGAACACAACGGACACCAGCAGCAACTACTAATCGACGACCATACAGGCATGGCACCGAAAGTCTTCGCCGAAGCAGAGGAGGACGAGCGCCGCGCACTCAGTAAAAACCCGGACCAAAAGGCAACACCTCTCCTACTCGACGAGAAAGTCGAGCTCCTCTCGGTCAATGCCAAAGCGATGTTGGCCTTGTGGGTCGCTATGGGCGTACGAGGAGCCACCATAAAGAAGATGCGCCAACAAGATGTATGGCGTGACGAGCAACAGCAGCTGCTGTTCGCTCAGGTGGTAGCAGACAAAATCTATGGAGTGCAAGGCCGAGTCATCTCAGTGAGCTGCAACTGTGGCACCAAACTAGGTTACCCACTCTGCGTACACCACGGAAATAAGGGCGGGCCCTTCGACTACACCCATGAAATGGTCACAAACCGGGACACGGTGACGGAGCTCCTCACCCATCTCTGCATCTCGGAACACAGCATACGCAGAGCGGTCGCGCTATCAGCAAGACGCATGATTGAGGACCAGCACCATACTAATCTAACTATCTTTCTGTACAACAGAGGATGGGTACGGCCAAGCACGTTCCAGGACTATGCGATAGACCTAGAGGACTACCGCCAAGTCCAACATCGCCTACCGAACGTGTATGGAATATGGGAACCACAGCTCGACGATGGACCGAACACGAGCCACAACTTCAAGTTCCGGGACCGCAAACAGCAACTGCTGCAAGAGGCAGCAGTAAGCAACTTCAAAAAACCACTGCAACTGCAGCAAGCACACAGCACTGCCCAAGCCACGACCGCGACCACGACACTAAAATGCACAGCGACAGCTGCCGCTGTGCCCACAGTCTCCAAAGCGCAAGCGCTTTCAAGAGGTAAACCGGGCAAAGTTCACAAATTAGCCGCGGGAAAGCTTTTCCCGGTTAATAGCGTCAAGACCACGGTAGCAAAACGGGAACAGAAAACCGTAGAGGAACTCAAAGGAGCAGCACAGCCTAGCACCAGCGGAGGAAAAACCGGCAAGGAATGGGACAAACTGCCCAACCAGTACCGCGAAAACCTCATCCTAGGAAAAGTCCGCCTGTCACAGAAGCATGCGCACAAAGTAGCCGCAGAACGACAGAAACGTGGACTGCCACCGCTCGAGAACGCGCAATAAATGCGTCGAACACAGATGGCACAACAGGAACGACGTCAGACACACATGGCGGTAAGCGGGTTCTCTCGCAACGGCGAGAGGGCTCCAGCTCGGACGCTCCGAGCTTCACCCCATACTCATACAGGGCGATCGGGCGCGCATCTGCGTGACCCGACCCCGCTGTTGCTCCACACCTAACTCAGCCAGTGCTAGGTATGAGCACTCCACAGGAGTAAGCAGTCAGTTGCGATTGACTGCGTGCAGCGAACGTATGGTCTATGTGCATAAGTTCCAGCTCATCCTGCGCAGCAGCTGCTGCAGCGACGAATACAAATAAGAAGGATCAGGGATCCGGCGCAGCAAATTATGTGTGTTCGCATCGGTGCATGATCAAGGATCAGAGTGAACAGTGAGAGCTGAGTGAGTGATGGCATTGTGATGACCCCTGTATTTAGAGAAGAGTAAGAAAGAGATGAACCAGGCAAAGGTGCCAGTTGAACTCAAGCTGCTGAACATGATCAAGCCTTAAAATGAGACGAGTCTTCTTGCCGAGCGTCATCTCCCACAGTTGCCCGTAGCTGTTGCAGCGCCCCTCACTGATGATGCCAAGAGTGCAAAACGCAAAGAAGTTCAGCAGGCCGATGATGAAAACCCATGGCACCGTAACTGCAGGAGTTCCGTTATAGATAGTCAGCGGTAGCGTCAAAAGGCCTGCGCCAACGACGTTCTTCACGATGTTCACGACCGTCGCGAAGTTGCTACTTCCTCCTGTCATCAAGGCCTCACTCACCGCCTCTTCGTCAACATTGCCACTGTCATCAACCTCGTCTAGACCAAGCACGCTCCCTCGGAAGGACACGGAAGAAGCCCTGCTCCCTCGAACAGACTTTCCATTGCTCCCTCGAAAAGACGCATCTTCTCGTTCAGACTTTCCAGTGCTCCCTCGAAAAGACGCATCTTCTCGTTCGCCGCCTCGATTAAAGAGGTAGGCTCTTGGTGTGCGCTTACCCCGTTCGTTATGCCTTTCCCCCTTCAGGAAGGCAACACGAACGGCAACAAGAACACCTTTAGCCTACCCTTAACTCTAGTATTTGTAGGCCGATTGCTCGCACGAGCAGTGGACCGTGACAGCTTGGAGGCTGGCTTAAACATGCCAGAAGTTATGCTACCCTTTACGGTTTCCACGTCCTTCCTACTCATCTTTTTCGTCGTTACAACACAACTATAATTAACGAGACGAGGAAACGATGACTAGTATAGGCCTTAGCTCGTGTTGTCGTCGACGTTACAACACAACTACAATTAACGAGACGAGGAAACTTGATTGATTGATTGATGTGCCTGGCAAGAGGTCGTTGTTGGAAGATATCTATTTCTTAGCGCGTGTTGTATGAAGAAGTAGATTCGCTAGAAGTATGTCTTGTACTATTTTTAAGTGGATTAACGAGGAATCAATATGAAAGGAAAAACTAAATCCTGGTGGGGAGTCTCCGTACATAGTACAGTGGAAAGCTGAACCTCTGTTTTTCTTATTCCTTGCAGTTCGTTGGTGCACGACTACTTTTGTTTGCATTGCTGAATACTACTATAAGGCACAACCATTAGTTCTTTGTTTATTTAGGATATCAAATTGAATATTATAATACTATAAATGTATTCATTGTAGTTGTACTGAGTACCAGCAAAGGGGTGTTAAAGTTAATACTGACACGATGAATACAAGAATCGTCGTGTCTAGCGGTGTGCTTTGCCGTTGGGGGTTTAGGCAGGATTAGAGTGGGGGTTGGGACTGGCAAGGGCAAGAATGGTCATTGGGGATGAAGACCGAGGACCCGGCATTAAATCTTGGTACTCTGTTCTCTAGTACCCAGGCCAACATTGGGCAGTTCTCAGGAGCCACCGAAAGGGTCCATAGTTTCAGAAGTGGAAGATCCTGAATTCTTCTCGTATGATATTTTTTGACATGTTCTACCACAGCCCGACAGTTTATGCTCTTTTCTAGACTGGACCGAATCCAAAAATCGAGCAGCATGTTTTTCGTTGAATAAGTAGGGATAAGGGAACGGGCCAACTGCGCAGTTGGCTTAGTGGTTTAGGCGGTGGCCTGTTCACTTATCAAGTAGTAGATCGGAAAGAGAGGAAAGCATAATAGGTCATTGGGAAGCACTTTCTCTGCAGCATGCTAAGAGTTTAGGCTGGCTATGCGGACGGCGACGCATGCACATAATTCTCCTTTATGAACGTGATCGGCCAACACTTGTTCAACATGATGTTTCAATATCAACATTATATCAGAGTGAGGCAACATGAATTTTGATTTTCAATAGAAGTAAGTACAACCTTGGGATAGGATTGAAGAATATGAGTATGACTCGTCACCTTCCACAGGTTACTAGGCCCCTTGTAGAATCTTCTCGAGAAGCACGACCTTCTACCACGCCATCTTCATCTTTACGTTGATACTATTAACACCAAGGTATAGGCTAGATGAAACCTTGCAGGAACAAGCAAAGGAAAGAGTTGGAAGTGGAGGTGAGCATGTGCTGATAACAAGGGCTCTGTAGTCGTGTTTGTGATTGTGTTGATCACATCATAATCACATCTATGAATTTGTGTTGACATGCTGCATGGATGCGCGAAGGAAAGGTTCTTGTTATGTGTTGTTATGTTTAGGATTGGACTGGACTGGGAATCAATGCATTTGCATTCTGTAGAACAGAGGACTTGGAGATGCTTCTAAGATGTGGCTACTAACCTGGTCACAGAAGGAAGAGCACGAGGAGCAGCGTATGGGTATGAGTATAATTGTGGTGGAGTATAATATAAAAAAGGCTTCTCGACACAAAAATCTTGATCTACTTCACTATGAAGTGTATGAGTTGGCAAACACAACCCACTGAGTCACTCCTGATCCTTGACTTGTATATCCTGCGGATTTCAAAGAAACGTTCGTAATACAGGAGACCCAGTCAGTCCTAGTATAGAGACCTGAGGGTTGTAACCAGCTTATCATGAGATCATCACTTACCTTCTAGGAGCTTCCACCAAGACCAATTATTGATTGGTTGTCATGGCATCGCTAAACAACTCTAACTACTCTAGCACTTGTTATTATCGCGTTACACCACAGATGAAGCGTCCACCACAGCCCCGTAAGTTACTGCTGTATCACCCTTGTCGATAAGCTAGCTACGCCTCAGCTGAAGCGTCCACCACAGCTCCGTAACCTGCTCTATCATCCTTGTCGATAAGCTCGCTACGCCTCCGATGAAGCGTCCACTGCAGCTCCGTAAGTTTTTACTGTTGCATCATCCTTGCCGTTGAGTGCGTCTTCATCAGTTACAAGCTCCTTACTGTTACACCTCAGATGAAGCGCCCACCACAGCTCCGTAAGAAGCGCCTCCCGTGTCATCAGAATCTATTATCTTCGGGCTTCCCTCTTCCCTACCAGCATCTTCATCAGGAAGCGCTACTTCCGTAGGGGCTGCATATGCAGGATCAGGCAGTGCAATATTAGTCGCTGCATCATGCGCCAGCAAGAGAAAGATGATACTTCTTAGAGGTGAAGAAGGCAGACGTGTACGTTGAAAGTATTCCAGGGATGTGGTTAGCTTAGATCATGGATCCTGCACATCGAGTCACTCATTAGAATCATGTTTCTCCTCGAAAATGAAAATGTCTGGAGACTGTTGTCGAGTTTCAACTTCCTTGTCGAGAATGCAGTCGTGACTGTCGTAAAACATAAAGTTGAAAAACTACAACTACATCTAACTGCATCTAGTACCTCTTTGGGAATTAATATGGTGCTACACCTGAGTCTGAAGTTGAACGGGTGTCTTCAAAAACAAAAACACATCAAGAACAGAAATATAGTTATTCCCTATCGTAAACTTGGTATTCTGTGCGTCAGACAAAAGATCCGCATATTAGAGCAGCAAAAAAAAAGAAGTAAAAGGAATCCACGCCTTTCGTCGACGGACGTAGCGCTCCTAGTTGTACTTCATTTAAAAAATGTAGATAATTGTGCTCCTACTTCACTTACATGTACTTACCTAGATAGTTGTTTCCGTTTTTACGTCCAGAAACAATAAGATAGTGTGTATGTGATGGAGGAAAATACTAGTGCGACTCCATATCCTCGATCATCACCTACACCTAGGTCTCTAAGATGTTGTTGACGACAAATTTATTGTAGTGACAGATAAGAATCTTCACAATGGTGTATTATAAGCATCTAAGTATCAATATTCTTACGGAGTGATCATGATGCTGGACCTAAGAACTAGAAAATGGGGCATTTTGATCCCCTACAGCCGTGATGATGATCCTCTACGCACTGCTAAGAGCCATGATCCTCGGCATGTGTTCGCTCTGTGTTATACTTGTAGCTTTTTAACTACCTCCTAAGAAGCCGTATTATATACGTACCAGGGAGGGAGGCCTCCCCCCTGTGGATGGAGCGGCGGCGGCGTCCGCGCGCCCTTTTTTCCGCTGTGGTGACATGTAAGGACGCCCACGGGCGAAGGCCTCAAAAGGCGGAGCCGGAGGCCCTTGGCGGCTCTCCGCGTGTACTCCACCGGAGTCCCGACTCTTGGACCCTATCAGGGGGACGACCTCCAGGGGCGGAAAGCCGTCGAAGGTAGCCACGGTCGCGAGGCCTGGCCCCTTTGGCGCTCATCCCCCATATTTGTGGCAGCGTCAGCAGCCACCAAACGCCCGAGGGAATGAGGACCAAAGGCGAGGAGCAGGGGGGGCAAGGCGTGCCCGTCTGGGTTCTGTCGGTTACATGCAGCACGGCGAAAGGGGTCAAGCCTTGCCACCTGCGGCCTCCCACCTTCCAAGGAACTCTCACAGCGAGGAGCCCGCAAGCAAGAAGTCTGTCGGGTACATGCAACACGGCAAGAGGGTCCAGCTTGCCACTTTTGCCAGGTCTGTCGGGCACATGCAACACGGCAAGGGGGCCCAGCCTTGCCACCTTTGCCAGGTCTGTCAGGTACCTGCAACACAGCAAGGGGGTCCAGCCTTGCCACCTTCGGAAGCCTTCCGAACCCGGTGCCTCAACGGCCTGAGGGATGGGGGCTCTGCAGGGTCCAGGCAAGAAGCGGGAAGGGGTCGGAGGTGGGCGTTTGGAGGTCTTCCCGCACGGCAGTCCCTCGACAAAAAGGACCCGGGGCTGGAGCCCCCCCTCAAAAAGTTAGATCGGGGGGGCCTTCCGCACTGAGCCCTGTAACATATATCAATATCACATGATCCTCTTCTCTACTGTGTGCATAAAAAAAAAATCGCTTTCTGGCCAATAGCCGCCATTTGCTCGACCCTTTGACGCGGGCTGCGATTCCACGCAAGCCCATACCTCTAACGCCGCCACGCTGTTAGATGGAGAGAGAGAGAGAGAGAGAAAGAGACAGAGCGACTTGACTGATTGATTGATTGACTGATTGATGTACCTACTCAGGAGGTCGAGAGAGAGAGAGAAAATATAATGCTGTACTAGAACAACAAGAAACAGAGAGAACAAATAATGCTGTGCTAGAAGAGACAGAGACAACAATGAATGCTAGAGGATGAGATATCTTTGGTTCGACGTTTTCTTAAGTTGGAAGACCAAAAGCGCTGAAACCGACATGAACAACTTCAGTCGATGCGTGTTGAATGCTTTCGGCGTTGGCTGGCCACCACACACACATCCCGAAACGTAAATTTGAAGGAAGCTGGTAACACAGAACACGACTGCGAAACAAGTTAGGGCATGTGCCAGTTTGTGGAAAAACGATCAGCCACTTACACTTCAAGAACCTTAACAAGGACTAAACGATAAGTCACTTACACTTCAAGCCTAAGCAGGACTGCTCTTACGTCCAAGTTTTTTTGAATTTTTTAACCCATTCAGGAAGTACAGCAACGCCAACCCTCATCAAGAAAAAATATCAGTGCCAAAAATAGACAATTATGATAGTCTACATTTACATCAGCATCCAGACGAGGACTAAAAATTTACAACCACTCTTAACCCGAGGCACAAAAGACGGAAATCCAAGGAGTGGCCCTGCTGCCTCCAGTCCCACTCCTGCGTCTCTGTCGTGCCATCGTTAATTTTCATTGCAACTTTGATCATCTTTTCGATTAGAGAGCTCACCCTAGTAGTTCTACATTGTGAGCATACGCATTCATAGCCTAATCCCCACCCATCTTGTTATGACGAGCATAGCTTCTCATTGTAGAATAGTGATCTCCCATCTTGAAGAGGATCATCCTGCGATCCCCTATGTTGAAGAGGACGAGGACCATTCTGATTAGTAGACCGTTTTCTTTTACATCCCTAGCAAAGAAAAGCCTTCAAGGTCGATGCCTCCGAAGATGGATTAGGGTAGCAAAGGTAGGAATTCCGACCACGGACTGCATCTGGACGCTTTACCCCTTGGATGGGGTTAGTTACTACTACTAGTACTACTAATACTACTAGACCCAAGAATAGTACCCAATAGATGCCTTAATGCAGGTACGCAGAGTACCCAATAGACCCCTCCCGCCACCAACACGCAGTCCAAAGGGAGGCAGACAGTGCCGGTCACAGACAAACCAGCACGGACCGGAGTCCAGCTTGCTCCTGAAGATGAGCCTCCTGATGAAAAATCTCGTTCTTCCACCATATTGATGCTCTTTTCGCTGAGAGAAAATGGAGGAACCTGTTCACGTTCACGAGAAGGAGAACTGATTCTATTCATTGTCCAATTTAATAACAGTAGGCACTATATTTATTACTAATAAATTAAGATAGTTCATTGTGCAATTCAATAAATTCCGACGAGCAACCTGAATGTCGGAAGTGGGAATCGTCCCTCATATGTACCAATGGAAGGACCTAATGGGAGGACTGCTGTTCTCATATGATCATGGCGATACTACAGCACTTAATTTCCGCAGACCTATTGTGTCTGCCCCGAGATCGATGGGGAATTAAAGATGCGCAGATGAGCAGTCTGTGAAGCGGCACAAATGGAAAGTTGAAAAAACTCTTTGCTTCGAACAAAGTTTCAAGCTTTCAAAGGATTACCACGAAAAAGAAGTAGGGTGTCTACAAAAGTTCGAAAATTGTAGGACCGACCGTTGTAGACGATGACTACAATGGGGATCGTCATTGTGCTACCACTTCACTGACCACGACATTAGGATCACCAGGCTGTAACCGACTTCACCGCTGTAACCACGGCAGAAGCTTCACCTCCGACGTCACGACATTATAACCGATCAGTTTTGGACGAAGGGCCTCAATTTTGATTCTTATTCGGATCGCCCTCAGTGCCAATTCTCATCGTCCTCAGTGCCAGCTGCACAGTACAACTTCTTGCGCAGACCGAATAAAAAGACAAGGAGGATCCTCCTCGTGGTCGTGGCTGTTTATCCGATGCCTGACAAAACACCGACGGAATCAATCGCGTTCATCCACACGTCACACTCTCTCCTGGATATTGTTACTCCTCCTGTAGTTTTTAATGTCCGGCTCCGAGGACAACACTTCATCTTCTACACGGTCGTCTAGTATGAATGAATGAATGTGCCTAGCAAGAGGTGTTTTGCAGTAAGGCCTGTGTAAGGTCTAATGTTCATCGCAAAGACATCTTCCTCTTGTCTTCTTCACACACGGACAGTGGCCACGCTGCAACATGCACATAATTCTTCATCATGAATATGATCAACTACAACATGTACAACTGTTCTCCTATTCGGTGGCCTGAATGCGATCTCAAAGCCTGAATTCTTCTTGTAGTGTTGGTTCCCTTGTGAAGATCAAAATCACAAGTCATCAAAAAATTCCAGAACCATTCAGAACAGCAGATGCTGAACATGATATTTCTATCAGTATAAGAAAGTGCATCAAGAACCTTGTGCTGCTGCAGAAGCACCTGCTAGTACCTCTTCTCCATTATTTCCAGAAGGATAGACGGGCGCTACATCTTTATAGATAATCTACTTCTTCATGATCGTCTTCCTTTTAGTACCAATGACTTAATACGCGCTAGCAACAACTTAGCATTTTTACTTTTACCAATGAATAGGTGACTGCAGTTTACTAATCACTATCCATGGATCCCAGAATTATTATTATTACGAATCATGTGTCAGTGCCTAGCACTTCTACTTTGTTTGCCACTTCTCCTGAAAGTGTCTGCCTAGCGCTTCTACTTTGTTCTCTGCCTCGTATGTTGAAGGGGATGAGGATGAGGATGAGGATGAGGATGGGGATGGGGATGGGGATGGGGATGGGGATGGGGATGATGAGGATGAGGATGGGGATGGGGATGAGGATGAGGATGATGATGATGATGATGATGATGGTGATGATGATGTTGATTGTGCTTATATTACTAGAGCCGTTCGATATTAACTTAGATGATACTTTGAGGACAATAGTCAGTGAATTCTCATTTTAGAAGACGCTTGCTGCTGCTCACGCATCATAAAAATGAACGTAAATCATGAGTCAAAGACGGGGCTCTGTCAGTGGGGAAGGGTGTTGTTGGAGGTCGTCAGGGAGGAGAACTTGGACAGAGAGATAGGAGAACTTGGACAGATAGGAGAACTTGGACAGAGAGATAGGAGAACTTGGACAGAGAGATAGGAGAACTTGGACAGATAGATAGGAGAGCTTAGACAGATAGGAGAACTTGGACAGATACAAGAATTTAGACAGATAGGAGAATTTGGACGACGGCACTGAAAACCGCGACTACCGATCGATTGTTCTACCGTCGCAAAGCGGGTATCACTTTCCCTTTCTCGTCTATCATTGTCGTCTCCTCTCTCTTCCTCTGGAGATCCGGTCACGAAACACTACCGACAAGAGCAGGACAGCTAGCACTCGTTCATGTGTCATAATTCCGATCGAAGCTTAAAAAATTCCGAAAAAAAAAGTGGAACACTTTCGCTCGTTCGTCCTATAGAAGTGGATGAAATATGCACACCCTTCTTCAGACAGATAGCGGCCTCCATCGTCATCATGGCATCTCTGGTGGCCCTCGCGATGAAGATAGTTTCAAAAAGTATTCTCATGGACAGCTTCATTACACCACGTCGAGGTCGACCGCCACGTCTCCATCACAGCACTCTTCTAGATAGTAGTTCACTTGTACAAGTGCTCAGTTCGTCGTAACATGAATCAAAGAACGTCATCTGGGCTCTCGTGTCCTCGAATTTACACTAACGCCTCAGCATAGTGGACATGACATAGGCACCCCCTACAACTTTCCGCTCTGTGTATAACTACTTCAGCGAACCGCAACATCTTTGTGTTGGTGCCTTTAAAAACAACAGCAATAGCAACGAGCATAACAGCAACAGTTTCAACGAGTAGGACCACCTGGATTAACACTTCTTCGCTATCTTCTGCGTCTACATACTAGCATCTGTTTTTCCACTCCATCATTAGTTCGACCTTTTTTGTGCTCCTGTTCTAATAAATACAAGTAAGAATGACAATGAACTGCATTTCACGATATGAGATAAAGCACTCCTTTCTTCCTTCGATGTCCTTCTAAATGTCCTCTATGTCACAACATTCGTTCATTCATTTACCTGTTCGTGAGGTATGGTCTAGTGAGAGGGGACTCACACTTACATCTTTCTGACTTTCCTCTGTGCATCGGCTGTGAGATGAAGTGCCGCACTACTTCCCTTCCGCAGTTGTTCTCTGTACCTTGTCATTTCTTTCATCAGCGTGGCTATCTGCTCTTTGTGCTTGTACCCCCCAACCTGCTTCAGTACGTCAATCTGGTTCTCGTACCTGAAAAGTCGTGTTGAACAGCAGTTTAGTTTCTGATATTTTTTCACTGAAGTTATCGTTTCCATTTCCACCAGATCATCTAGACTACATACTATACTACAACTACCACTAGACGTATAACACAAGTTGTGAACAAACATCGACATCAACCAAAAAACAATTACAACTCACATCAGATACTAATTTGATAATCAAAAGTTGTGGTCTCTATGCTAGTTAGTAACTAAGTAAAACTATTAGTTGTACGCTCTGACGGCGAATTCGCAGAGTCTCTGCCAAGGTTGCTTCTGGAGATTGGCAAAGCAAGGGCAGCTATCCTTCGGTCGCATATCCAACAGCTCATCCCTGCTATTCCGGAACACTCCAGGAAAGTTGCCTAATTGGTACACTTTGGCCAACTTTCGACCACCAGGTGCTTCCTCGACTTCCTCTGGGGCTTTTTCTTAGAAGAAAATCGATCTAAGGGGGGGAAACTCTTTCTATTCATTCATTCATTCATTCATTTGCGAACCACGTGACAACTCAAGAAAGCGGCCTCATTCCGTTGCGACCCGAGTAGTTGTTCTTATTCTATAAGAGGAAAGAGAAAGGAAAGGCCGAGAACAAAGAACAAACCAAAAATACAGCCTTTTATTAGAATTACTGTCTGGCACAACCACTACGTAGATGAAGACATGACTCATAATTATTCCATTCCGATATCTGGACTTCTCTGTAGCCTTCTCTGCGCAGGACTTTAGCATAGTCAAAGTTCGGTGGTGGCCATATCGGGAAGACAAACCACCATCTCGATAAGACATCGGATATGAGTTTCTGCCGCGCGCTGGCCTCCGCTGAAGAAAGTTTAACAGCAACGTATACATTTCAACAGTTTGTTTAGGGTTAAAGCAAACTCCAACATGATCCTCAAAAAATAAATACTTAGTCTACAAAAGTTTCAGACCACTCAGTTTCAGTTTACAACTACCTACAATACCATTTGCTTTTCGCCATCCATCTACTGACCGTGACTGTGGTGACAGCGTCTTCTTCTCGTATGGAGACATGTTCGCTCTCAGCGCTGGCGTGCCCTTGACCTCCACAAGTGGGATGAGCTTGTGAGCAGGTGGGAAAACCGGTTCCCATAAGGGAGGAAGTTCGATTCCATTCGAGCCGCTGTGCCCGTTCCCATTCGCAGCTCCTGGAGCAGCTCCGTTTGCAGTCGCCATTTTGTTCATATAATATCTTTCGAAGACCTCCTATTTGGTTCCTGTTGCTGGTTTGATTATTGATTGATTGATGTACCTATTCGTGAGGTGATTTACGAACTATAATATCGTTCGAAGACCGTCTTCGATGTAGAGCTAGTAGGAAGTGAAGAAGATATCGTAGGCTTTGCGACTATGCTCGTAAGGGTGTCAAGATTACAGGACAGAGCAACCTTCTTCTAGCAAAACATGTCCTAGCAACGTCCCGCTACCTCGTTTAAAATATTGGTATCCAAGGACAAACGATGTCAGAGTCGGTAGATGAAAAGGTTACTCACTAACAGGGTTGGGGCAGAAGAAACTTCTCGGGGAAATTTGATTCACTTAAATTTCCGTTCAGCCGTGCCGCTCTATCTGCGATGTTGGAGTAAAGAAAGAAATGTCGTGGACGGGAATTTCAATTAAGAACGGCGCGCATGTACTCTGATAGATCGACGTCCAAAGAATTAGAAGTCATTGTATCAATGAAAATCAAAGTCGATCATCGAAGCTCAGGGTGGAATGGTCCGAACAGGAGCGAGTGATGAGAATCGGGGCTCTCAACGCGATTCGTGCTAGACGAGGATCATGATCTCTGTACAGACAGATGACGCGCGATGATCTCTCAGGAAACAGACGCCCAGCGATCTCTACCAAAGTCGATAAGTTTAAGTTTTACTTGTACTCTCCATCCAGATCAACACTCCACAGAGGTAGAGTCATGCGGCGATCCCTCAACACTCCACAGAGTAGGCGAACAGAAACTCCGATATTCTTGGTCATCTCAACGCTCCATCGAGGTAAAGTCCGATACAATCGCTCGCAAGAATACATTTACTGCCTTTTCCTTTCTTTCTCATTCTGACATACTATAATCAAAATCAATGTCATTGCATTTTTGTTTTGTTAAAGCTTCGACAAGAACGCTCAACAGACTGAAGAGACTTGTCGTGGCAAACAAGGTCAAGGACTAGCGAGAGAACCAGATAGCTGAAGTCGATCGCAGTAGGGAAGATAGCACCACGTTTGGGCTGTGATTGCGCTGTTGTTCAAATTACTTTTTCGTTGACTCAGTGGTCTGTTTGCGGCTTGCTTTTTCTTCATCTACATGGAGATAATATAAAACCTTCGCACTGGTGTCAGTGTTTCACCATATGACCCTACAATTACATCGCTATAATCAGCCACGTTCATTTACAGCAAAAAAAGTATCGAGAAGCATCGGCTTCTTTGCGTTCAAAGAAATCGTAATAAATGGGTCAAATGCTTCTATGATTAGTGTGTTTCAAAACAATCTTAAATGGGTCGAATTCAATATGCTTCTAATAGTGTGTTTCAAAGAAAAATCATCTTAAATGGGTCAAATTTCATCTCTTCACGACCTGGCCGTATTCCAGGTCGTGAGGCGGTGTTATATCCGAGAGAGCTAACCTGCGTCTTTTACGTGATCATTGACATGCCCCTCCTGCCATTGTATCTTCATGAGCAGACACTTTTCTCTTCAGCGTTTCATGTCTACTGTTGCTCCACTGCCTTCCCGTCTTTACTCATGAAGTTTTCTTAGATACTTCTTGATATCCCGACTGTACGGGTCTGTTCGCTTGCCATACTTTCCGAGGAGGCCTTTTTCTTCGCTATGAAGCGTTTTAAGCGAAAGCTGCAGATCTTTTACCAATGCCTCGCGATTACCCCAGCCGGTGCAAGCGTCAGTTTTCAAAACCATAATCTGATTTTCGTACCTGTAGTTTGAGTCGTGCAGATGAAGCAGTAATTGTAATTATGAGCTTTGACTATAAAAATTTGTCGTAGAAATTAGAAGATCCTAACGCCTACATCAGAACCAAATGTCCAAAAATTTCTGCAAAATCTTAAAGGTACGCTCTCTTCAACCACTTGATGAGTTGATCGATCGGCTTGGCTTGGAGGTTCAAAAAGCACGGACAGCTTTTCACTGGTCTCATGTCCATTCGAATCTGGTTCGCATCTCTGAAGATTCCCGGAAATTGCTTCAACTGATAAACCTTATGGAGGCCCTCTTCGTCAATATCCTTCTCTTTCGTCCAATTCGCAACGGGGACTTCGCGGTAGCCTGGGGATGAAAGAAACAGTAGCCTCGGTCTTGCTGAAGAAACAGAGTCTCAACTTAATATACTCGAAAAAAGGGGAGGACATGCACGTGGAGGGGGAAAGTCACAGCTGCGGAAGACTGTCATCAATCTTGGATAGGGCTGGCAACACTATGAAAACAAGTCACGCAACCCCCGTTACAATTGATGCTTGCTTTTCGTCTTCGTATTTAAGAACCAGAGCTAGCCTACTGAAAGAGACTGTCCGGGCGTCGAGACGAGAAACAGCCTAACAGAAAGCTACCATAACTCAAGGCGCAGCTGCTGCAAATCAAAATCCCAGGGTCAATGTCGTCAATGTTGGATAGGGCTGGCAACACCAGGTAGAGTCACACAACCCCCGTTACAGTCGACAGTTCTTACTCTTCGTCTTCATGTGACCGGTGCTAGCCTACGAAAAGTGACTCACCGCCAAGCGTCGAGACGAGATAACATGCTCCCACCGTTGTACATTCTTCGGGGACAGTAAGCCGACTTCATCTTCCGAAAGATCTCCATCAAAACTAAGCCTTGATCTAGATCCACATGCTCATCTTGTTCGGCTAAAAAATTGTGGTTGGAGACAGGTGCAGAGAATGCCATGAGGCGCTCTCTGTGTTTAATCCAACGACTTCAGTCTGCGTCTTCATGTGACCGGCATCAATTCCATATGAGAGGAATGTACCGCCAAGCGATGAGACGATAATGTAGTTGTCAGTTCGTTCATGTTGATGATCTGTTAAGAAAAAGAACAATCACACGTTGCTTTACTAGAGGAGGGGAGGAAAGCATAGCAAGGTGGCCATCTCCAAGTGGGAAAGCGGAGCTTCTTTTGTCAATGTGAACGAAAAAAGTATAAACAGTTGTTGAGTACTACTAGAGCACTTTTTTCAGCACCACATCATTCGCATGGACTAATATATCAGCCAAAAGATTACCTTTCTTCGCCAAAGCTTGCGAGTAATCGTGATCCGGTGCTGGCCACTGTGGAAAAACATACCACCACCTCGATAAAATATCGGATATCAGGGACTGTCTTTTTTCTATGCCACCGCTTCGCTTGGGGGCTGTTGACCACCCATTCGCAGCTCGCGCTGGAGAGTTCTCCCTTCGTTTTGCATCGGTGGAATATGGTTCCTGTGAGAAGTTCTTGTTCTTGAGGTGGTTGATTATATTATAACAGAGTAATTTATAAGGTCTGCCGGCTCGCATGGCACGGAGTGCATGGATCGCAGGGAGCTAAAGGGCGCGCTTCTTGCGTCCCTTAGAGGTCTGCGCTCCATGCACTCCATGCTACTCCATGCGTGCTATAAACTGCTCTATAATTCGACGTTGTTCATACACGGGGAATGTTCCGGATTTTTCTCGCATTGTTCTTTTCAGTGCAATAGATACATACAATCTGATGATGCAATAGAATCTGGTCTGCTAGACAGTGCTGGATCTCCTCTTGTCGTTGGTACCAAGATATACCCCTGCAAAAGCTAGTCATGCTAATCCTGTAGAGTCTTGTCTTGTCTACTACATATTCGATGTGGAAGATATTATACCAGATCGCACATGCAGAGGTCGTCTTTTCCTGTATGGATCGGCAGCAATCTCTCGGTAGCTGGAAAAACAGCTTCAGGTAGTTTTGGTAGTTCTATCTCTTCTACTGGGTCTGAAGATGATGAAGATGGGTCACCTGCTGATGTTGCATCCTTTTTATTCGTCTGTTTACTCCCCCTGCCTCTGGAACTTGTAGCTGCAGCTGCTTTCGGCTGCACACCTGCTGCCCTTATTGTTGTTGTTTCTTCCACTTCTAAGTCATCCCCTTTCTTGCTTTTTCTGACGGGTGATGCTGGCGCACGCTCGGTTGTGGGTGCTTTTGCTTGTGCTTTGGACGACGATGAACTGCCGCCGACTTGTTCCCGAACAAGCGGCTCGTCATCCGAATGGACACCGGGCATCTTATTCTGTCAGATTTTGGATTATTGAGACACAAATAGGGACTTTTAAGCCTAATATCAGACCTAGTCGAACGCTCTCATATAAAAAAATGTCAAAGGCTGACACGCATTTGCCTGAGTTATTCGTCATGCTTGGTGAGGTGAGTGAATGAGTGAGCGACAAAAATTTCTCATCATCTTTCTGTGGCGCAAGGTAGTGAGGACAAGAACGGCTGGTAATAGTACTGATGTGATGAAGTGATTCCTTTTTGAATTTATCGTCTATTCATGTCCATATTCTGTGCTCTTGATAGCAGTGGTCTATTGTTGATTCCCTCATTCTGATTCTTTTATCTTGCAATTTTTGTTTTTCCTGATGTCATCTGCGCAGATGAAAAAGTCCTGGCTTCTTTATAATACCTGCTCTGAATTCGCTTTTCTCCGCCTTCTCTGACCCTCAAAGAACCTCCTCCGAACCTACAAAGGTTTCCACATATCCCAGGGGACTAGAGAATGACCAACATCCCCAGCAATTGATGCAGGTCCTTCTGCACGTCCTTGAGCTCCAGAGTGAGCGTGCTTCTCTCCGCTTCCGCTCCACGACATCGCCGACCCGGTTACGGTAAAGGGAAAAAACAACAAATCGACCAGAAAGTTCGGCTTGCGACGAAAGCCGGATGGTATTAGACGAGACAAAAGCTATGGTATACACTCACGAAGGGAAGTCTAAGGTCTACTACAAGGGAAAAACTCACCGGTATAGTCGGTGATGCTATGGTGTAGATACTCAGTGGAGATATTTATATACAAAAACCATCAAGTATGATTATTGCACACTAAGAAATAAAACAAATGTGTTCTCTTGCAGTACTTCGTAGAAAAACTTGACTTACAACTATATCAAGGAAGGAGCCATAATCTGAGACACATTTTCTTGACAGACGTGGAGAGCACAGTACAGGTGAAACGCGCGACACCAGCTGCTCGAGCCTGCTTCTCCATACAGCTCACCAGCGCTGGTGCTACTAGATGCCTACCCCTAAGCTTGGGGTCCACTACGCAATCCCAAAGTGACCACCACAACTTCGGACTTGGACAAGCACTGGTTGTAGAAGAAGTTCTTGTAGGTGCACTACTACGTGTTTTTGTTTTATTAGAACTATTAAATAGTTGATGCCCATGATGTACTTCATCTGGAAGGAGCGCACCTTCGACGTTTCGAGGGCCACGACTCGGAAAAATGTCACGGCCAATAGAAATAGACGATGACTCAGCACTTTCTTCTTCTGCTCTGAGAAGACCGACGAGAACTCGAGAGGAAGTACCATCGTCATTTAGCCGTTCGCAAAGTACGATTCTCACCGTTTTGCATTGCTTCACTGGCAGTTCTTGTTCTCCTCTGTTGGTCTGCTGCACTTCTTCTATGTTGCTGTTCTTGTTCTGTTTCGGAACTTCTCCCATCTCCGTCTTCTTCTCAACATGCTTGTCTCCGCGATCTGCTGGAAGTACTTCTTCTACGCTCTGTTTGTCCATTTGTCTAAACGCTTGCTGAAGCCTTGGTCGGAATACAAGTCTGTAGAGCAACGTCGCTGCTAGCAAGTGCAACACGTGTTGGCTGACCACAAACAAAAGCACATTGCGCACTACCAGAAACGCGGACGCGGCGACTTGCTTTAAAACTGGCACAACAGCGGAAAGAAAGGTTGACAATCTAGTAGTACCTGGGCTAGAATTTGTATGCAGAAGCGATGAAGCGGGGAAAAGGTACAAAGCGAGAAGCTCCAGGTCAAAAACGGTGAAGATGGTGAGGTTTTGGCCTAGAAAGGAGAAAGCCGCAGCAACAGCGTGGTAGGCCGTGCGACCTGTAATGCCGGCTGCATTATTTATCACGCTGACAAAAGCATCCGCAGACGGTCGGAGTAAAGTCGTACAACCACCAGGCAGAAGCGATATCAAGCTGTTATAGATAATCGATAAGTCTCCGTCTCCTGCGAGATGAGCGGAATCTCCAGGACCGCGCTCGTGATCAGGCGTCACCACCACAAGTTGCTTTTTCAGTACACAAACAAGGAAGAAGAACCAGACCAAAGGTGATTTGCGGAGTGTCCTTGTCGTCTCATTGACCATGAAGAAGACGTGGTGGCACTCATCCCACAATCGCAGCGCACTCGCCTCATCCTCTGCACGCGCAACACGGTAGCAAAATAATCCCGAGGACCCTGTGGGTCCTGACCCTGGCGTGGTCTTACTTCCTGACGCGTCAGGCATGATCTTCCCGGACGCTGACGCTGGCATCCTCTTGCTCTTCTTCGTTGCTTTTGATATCTTTGCTTATTTGATGATGTCTGTTAGTTTGTAGTACGCAACACGAATCAATCAATGGGTTCTTGTATCAAACAGATGAAAGAAATATCGCAAGCTGTTTACATTTACTCCTTATTGACCGCAATGGATTGCGAGGTGTCCTCAAAATTACTTCTTCACTGCTTGGCGTGGACCATTGGATCTGCACATCACTGTCTTCATCAGTAAATGTCACCGGCAGAGCAGGCATGTGGTGCATTCGTGTCAGAAGCAAGAACATCTGCGCAAGTTGGAAAAGGTCAATCCCTTTCAGAGCAATAATGCGACCTCGTCTTTTTATAGGCAGTCTGTAAGAAGAAGAACAAGAAGACAATACTAAAAGACATCTATGAAGATTATGGTAAGAAACATCTCGATGGGATTCTCAAGTTTCGAACCTGCTACGCCTCGGCATCAAGCGAAGCAGTCACCATGGGAAAAAATCTTCGAAGACCCGCTTCACTAGCACCCACCACCTTCCATTCCACCTCCTCCTGAACCGTCTCCAACGCACCGGCTTCCATACCACCCTCCACATCATTTACTACACGCCAGCTTCGATTCTTGCACCAGCTACATCATTCTCCTCTTCCGGTTTCGCGGGTGGAGTCGATGGTGAACAAGCTGGGGCGGATTGCGTTTCTGGCGGAGGGGTTGGCACCTCAGCGGCTACTTTCTCTTCGGCTGGAAGGCGCAGACGTGGTTTCCCAGTGGAGAAAGATACCGGGATTAGAGGAGGAAGGAAAGGATAAGGAAGCTGGCGGGGTACAGATTGATACTTGGCTCAAGTCCGATTCATAAAGGCAATTTCGCTGAAGGAAGAGCTCCGTGGACGACTTTGAGGACTTTGAGCCTCTGCATATCGCGCCAAAGATTCGTTCTGTAGGGAATAAGTCGCCTTTTTCTCTTCACCGGAATGCAGTTATGCCTCGGGGTAGGAAGGTCTGATATCCCCCCAGGCGAAACACTGCAGGTGAAAGTAGGAGTTCATGATCGTTGTTGAAGATACAAACCCTGAGGCTCGTATTACAACTGTTGTCAACAGGTTTCAACATAATCCATCATGTCCCGACCTCGTCGTCCTGAACAAAACAGTGCGAAAGTAGACATACCTTGCCGTGGAATTCGACCGCCTATAGCTATCTCCACTTCGATGACCTTGCGCAACATCATAAGCGATCTCATGAAACGCAACGTCCTCCATCCGATAGATCAGCCGGATGAGAAATAGCATTAGAAGATTGATGACACGCGTCAAAGCCTGCTTCAGCCTTCATCGTGGATCAGGGTAAATACCGGAATTGTAGTACCGTGATGAATATAGCCCAGTTACAGAGGATACGATGCGAAATGCTACCCAGCATAACATCGTAACAATGCCGGACAGGACGATGCCAACAACAGCGGATATCTCCATATTCGCTTCGTCTAGCGCGAGGGCTCTTCTTATGGCAGATAAAGCAGGAGTAGGCTGTACATGATCCGCTTCTCTACTGATGATTATTGCAGAAGCAGGAGACTGTAGATGATCAACAGTGTCTTTCATGTTAATCGGTGCTGATTCTGAAGTAGCTGCTGGCATCCCATTCACATTCACTTGATTTAGAATCGACGCCCGTTCTGGTACGACAGGGAAACACCTTTCTGGCAATACCGGGAAAGAAACCATCCGTGATGCTGAAGACACAGAAGCCGATGCTGCTATAACAGCCGCTGTTGAAAGCCCAGCAGTGGTGGGCCTGTGTCTTCCTGTGGTGCATCTCGACGACATTGAGATGATGGTGTCCATCTTCTTCTACTAGAGATCCTCTTTTTTTAAACTCATAAGTAGTACGAAACGACCTCGGAATTTTTCTGATGTACTGTACCTGTCATATACTGAATTCGTAGGCTAGAGGGGCGTTTCATGTTTGATTTACCAATTTTTCCCAGACGTCAGGCCCTTCCCGGTACATATCATTCCCTCGTCGTGGTGTCTCAAAACTTTTTTGTTGTCCCTTTTTCGCTCAAAAAAAAGAGAAGTCGGTTCCAGCAGCGGATAACAAACATAAAACATCAACTCCGCCAAGATGTTCAGCATACGAGGCACTCATCTGCAGTAGAAGTGGGCGCTCATCCGCAGTAGAAACCACGCAACCAGCACCCAGAGTACTTATTCTGTGTGAGGAGGCGTAACTAGCACGCCTAAGAAGCATCATTATTGTGTGCAAAGAACATCCGCTCACCCACGTATCCTCCTTCTTATGTGCATGACCATGAGTCTAAGCGTAAATGACACATCAGTCACCATGGCGCATCCTTCCTCCTCATCATGGTACTTCCTTTCGAAAAATGGCTCTTTGTATGGGTCGTTCAGCCACAATCACTTCCATCATTTCTATCCCGCGTTCTATCCGCAGAGAGCGATCGGGGCCAAGCTTTTTTAGCATTTTCTGATGAATCTGGGTCCACAGGTACTCTGCTAATTCTTCCGCTGTTGTATGTACAATAGGGAGTATTTTGCAGTCTGCTCTTGTTACAGGTAGCCAATCACTATCCCTGGCTGAGTGAGAGTGGGTTTCCTTCTTTCCCCCTTAGAATCCCCTTGACTTGTTCTAGGGGAAATCCACTCAGCATCCATAGTCCCCCATTCTAAGTGGACCCCACTCAGCATAGTCCACACTCGATAGTGATTGTCAGTCAATGATGCAACACATAAGTCAGACTAGCCTTAATCTTGGCAGAGAGAAATACTGGCCTTGTTCGGTGAGAATTTCCACGTTTTTACTTTCGCTATGGGCTCTCGCCTGCTGCCACAAGCTGTCGTTATCGTCGCTTGCTCGAAAAAGACCAGCACCTTTAATATTTGCGTTAGCTTCTTCTTTTGGTTCCATCGCTGACGCAGATTGTTCAATCACTGATTCAACGGGAGGACACTGCAAACTAACTCCCCCACGACCACCTCCGGCTCCAACACCAGGAACATCTGATTCCGAAGAACTCGTCTGCAATTCTTCATGTGTAGAAGATCCTCCTTGTCCTTCTTTCAATCCCCTAAACGACAGGACGTCGCTGCGTCCAGGAAGTAGGACATATTCATTTAAAGCGCGGCAACAGGACTTGGTAACCTCCTTCACGTCTCCGAAATCTAGGACGTAGCCATCTGGGTTCACCCTGGTCCCCTCCAGGCGGACGCCGACAGTATAGTTGTGGCCATGATTAGAGGTACTTCTTCGCTATCCCTGGTCGAGTGAGTTGCAGCCCTTGCCCCCCTTGATTTTCGCCTTCAGATCAGGGTGGATTTCACTCAGTGTCTATAGTCCACATGGGATAGTGAGAAACTACCCTTAACATGTAAGCGTTCCCGAAAGCCTCTGGAAGCGACAAAGTGCCCAGAAGAAAACTTGAAATCTACGGACTCCACCTCCACTGCAAACGGCAGAAAAGGGCGACTCGGGTTGGAAGATGACATTGTTTGTTCCACTTAACGTTGCAATAGAGAACAAATCGATGCACCAAGAAAAAACTAAAGGAACATGATCATAGGACGACAAATACTAAATATGAAAATAGTAGAGACGATAAAATCACTGCAAGTAAAAGAAACCCCATTCAAAATGCATCATGTAAAAATAATAGAATGAGATACTTGTTCACCACGATCATATGGTTGTCCAACTTAACTTTTTTTTCTTGCCACAAAAAGATGAAAGTGAGAGTGGACGAGTTCTTCTTCTTTTTGTTGTGCCGAAAGTATCACCCTGTATCGACAACAATGCATCTTCACAAGATCATCAACACGTTTTCAGACCGAGAACGAAAGAACCTGCTACTACCAAAAAGTAGGTAGGAGTATCAATACAAACAGGCAAAACGGCCTACACAGCTCATGCCAGGAAGAGGGACAACCTGATCAGCAAAGGTGTCATCATTGGGTCGACATAGGTATAACGATTGGGTCATAGGTATGATTCCGAAAAGGCTTCATCAGATGGGACAAAGTTTGTCTTATACAGTGACCGGGGAGAGGTTTCTCACGACAGCATGATTGCTCATTAGCATGGGCAGTCGAAGATTCTGGGCATTGTTACAGTCCGAGCATTGAGCGTCCTTCTTAATGGCTGTACAGCAATAGAGTCTTGCTCTTCCTTACATTGCATCGATCCTCCTGTACTCTTCGCCGCACGAGAAGAGAACTCCAACAACACTAGTAATCCAAGAAGAGCTGTCACCTTCAACAGCTGCACTCACGGTCATGCTTCAGTCGGGTCAGAAATGGTCATTGTCGGTGCTGTACGTAGTCTGAGGGCTTGTCATCTGTTCTGTACGGAAGCGTGTCGGAGGTTGTCATCTTTCCCTGTGATAAGTGAACAGGCCAACGCCTAAACCACTAAGCAAACTGCGCAGTTGGCTCAGAGATTGTCATCTTCCGTACTGTAGTGTTCTAGGAAGAACATGCGGACGTTCTTATGGTGGTCGTGCCGTATTATTGCCATTACCACACCCCCAAGGCCGTTGCCTAGCACGGTGAAGAGGATATCCAGTCTGGCGTCCGTTGCTACGGGGTGCACCGACAGCCTGTAGCCCCGATGCAAAATATGCAGGTCCAGGAAGTGCACGAACGCCAAGCACATTATCCCAAGAGAGAGGCAACAAGAGGATTAGAGGTTTTTCTTCCAGTACTAGGTGCATGATTCATTGTAGTACAAGCAGAAGATTCATTTTTCAACCTTGTCGTGTACTACAACAACAAACTGTTGTATTAACTGTGGGACGTTCAAGAATGTTATACACTCCTATCTACTAGGTCACTACTGGTTTCCATAATAGTACAGTCCCAGATGCGTATCGAATTTCCACAGGACGATGAGACCGCCACCTAAGGCAGCTATCATCGTCATATACGAAAACGCTCGTGCACCGCCAAGAAATAATGGCGCGCCATTCGATCGACACCAAACTATGAAGCACAAGACGGTTGCCGCAATCTGTAGGGTGGAAAAATGTGACAGGAGAAAGTTGAGTTTTCAAAAGAAGATACACAGAGATAACTCTGCGAGAAGTGAAAATACGTACTTACACGATACACAGCTTGATAAAAATTGCCTCACACAGCGTTTTCCTTAATGTTAGGAGGTCCTAAAGAAACAATCTCCAGCTTACGGTAAAAAAAAGCCAAGAACTACTGTAAACAAATTAAATAGACCATACTTACCTGCATCAAGACGCCCACTACGAAGAGAAAACGCAGCATTATTGAGGATCCGTAATAGCTATCGGTCCCATCCCATTCACCCAAATTGGAGCTTACCTAAATTCATCTTCAAAGCCATCTTTGCTGTGTTTTCCCCTTGAAAACGTGTAAAAGATGCGTCTTATTAAGCATGTACTTAGACCTTAGAATATCAAGAAACTCAGTGTAATCTCAAAGATGAAGAGTCTTCTTCTGACAAAGATGCGTCTTAAGATGAATTACGGCAAGCCTTAACTAAAGCAGTAGCAACCGGACCTAGCTCTACTTCCTTCCCAGCACTTAGAATTAGAGGTTCTTGTTACGCGATTTTGCTTTTTACATTCATCCCCAGAAGCAGAACATCCACCCACCTGGCTTCTTTTCTAGCAGCAGAAGTATCAAGGATGGTCTAGTACTGGGGGATGCAATTGCAATTAGATGGTAACCCTTAATAGAAGCCTCCCTCGTACTGAGCTCAGTCGCCTGGACGAATGCAGTTGTGAACTGGATTTTTGTACTGTGGAATTTTGCAACACCGCCATCTTGTTGCTCTTCGTGTAGTGGTGTTGAGATCGAAGTTGCTCTTGACTTTTTAAGCCGTACTACAGTGTCTCATAAACAGCGGAGCAATGATATCGAGATGCTACTGTGCGATGAAGTAGAAGTCTGTTGTTGTAATGCTCGTCCTCGACTTTTTTTAGTATCGGTCAGGGTGCTCTTCGGACAGTTCTTGTATGTTCGTAAACAGCTTCTTGATGTTCGTAACAGCTAAGGAGCATGGTGTCGATGTGACGGCTCGAAGGACTTTTGCTTCAGAAGTTGAGGAAATCTTCAAGGAATGTCGCCATCTTTTTTGCTTCCTACCTCTACAAATGAATCCCCTGTTGCAATCGTTGTGGACTAGCTTGTGGATCAGGGGTAAAAAAATAATAAGCCAGAGGAAGAAATAGACGGATTAGATTCGATGTTGAACATTCTGAAATTATATTTAGACAATCATGCTGACTCTAGCTTCATGTCGGTTGACACTTGAGCCAAAATGGCTACGGGGTAAAAGAAGAACCAATCTATCACTTTTCATAAGGAGACATCAGAACTCGTGAGGACCCAGTTGTCATCAACACGAAGCTAAGTACGACGAAAGATGAGATGAACGACACGAGCTGCCACGATCAAAAGTGAGATGTTGGAGAAGGTAAAAATTGAAAATAAGGTCACAACCTAGTAGAGGTGGGCATGATTGGTTTCATGGTACGATCCCGTGAGTTTGATCCGATCATGGATGAGGTTGTTTCTCTTCTACGCGGACGCAGTCTCGATCTTACAGTAGATAACCGATCGTTGCTTCGCGGCAAATAATCCTTTTTGCAGTTTGCCCGATTTTTCATTCTTACCCTTCAATATTCCGATTCGGAAGACGCCCGACGACGACAGAGATTTCTACCGACGTACCTTACGTGTAGTCGACACATGCAAGTAGATGAACAATATGAGGAAGTATGCATATAATTGAAAGACAACTACGCGCGCAAGAAGACGCGTTTTGTGCTGCTGCTGCAATCCGACTTTGATAGCAAACGCTGCTTCTGCATCTTCATGTAGTCTTGGTTCATGGTTCACCTACTCAGATACATCATTTACATTAGTCTAGTCCTTTTCATTTGCCTAAGAAGTCTGATCGTCGATAAACAATTCTGTACATGTGATTCATTTTCGTAATTTCATCCGTACTCGAAATAACAAATAGCAGTTCTGTAATATTTTTAGTCATTCGCTCGTCGCAACATCTTATTGCTCTTCTTTCGGCTGTTCATTTCGACAACATTGCTTTTCGCGTTCTTGATCGCCGTAGACGTTCTTGTTTCATCTTCGACGATTGTTGTCGATGTTTTACTCCTTTTCTCCTCGACGAAGAGGGCACTCTGTTGTATTTCTGGTGTACTGGATGTTTTGCCTTCATTCTGCTTTGCAGAAACGTCAACTGCGGTGGAACTGCCGAATGAAGAACTACTCTCTTCACGACCAGCAGAGGTTGATATTATAGCACTACTTGATGTCGGACCTTGAGTCTTTGCTGATCCGTCGTTATGATCTGTCGTCGTCTGAGTATTCCCAGTCGTGATAGGAGAAGATGCCACAACATGTTGCTGTTCAGCAGGTACTTTTGTATCCGTCTCAAGAACGCCTCCGCTGGTACTCGAAGAAGCTACGGCATGATCAGTCGAGGCTTCCCTGGTCGTCTCAATGCCACCATTGGCGGAAGATGCTACAACAACACCTTGATCAGTAGTTGGCGCTACGGCATGCTTCATGTCTGTCTCAGTAAAACCCGAAGCCGAACCGCGCGTAACACCGCTACTAGTACTGCTACTACTTCTTGGTGGACCTCCAGTAGAGCCTGATTTCGTGTCCACGAATTGTGCTGCAGCTGTCTTTTCCAAGGTATAAATCCAGTCCTGGACAGCTTCGTTCAGCGGTGAATCAGCAGAGAGTCGTTCACCCAATAGGGCTAGGGGCATTAGAAGAAATTGTGGGTAGATTTTGTAGTCATTCAGGTAGTTGTAAACGACAGGGTGACTGGCACTGGGAGATCAAGTGCTATAATCTTGAGATCCTAATTATTAGGAGAAAGATGGAGACCAACTACAAACACCACGCAAAAAGACTGTTTCTCTTTGATCTATGTTGACTATTCTAACTTCCAAGAACATGATCAGTCGGAACAAATTATCTGGTTAGTACTAGGAGTTATTAGTAGGAACCAAGAAGATGATCATAACAAATTATCTCGTATCCTCTCGATTTCATGGGCACTTTCCACGTATTTCGATACGCTTTTAGCGATTTCTGCGCCATGGTCATGCAGTAAGTGCGCAACAATATCGCGTAACGTCTCACTCGCAGGACCTCTTACGGCTGGATCCCCTAGTAGTAAGGTTTTTAGGTCCTCATTTCGCAGTTCTGTTCGTGAGAACAAGTCATCTGACCAATCCTTCTGCTTCATCAGGGCGTGCGAGGAGGTGCTCCATATCAGGGAGAGGGAAAAGAAGGAGAAGGGTCTAGGGTAGAGCAAGGAGGAGAACCTCAGCTGCGTGCTGTAGCGGATCACGGTCATGATGATTATGTTCATGTGTTTTTTCAAACTTTGTACTGGGCGGGTTCACTTCTAGGCTAAGACATGTTCTTTCTAGAAGCTTGATCTTTCCAGAAAGTTGTGAATGTGATGTTCCTTTCAGATTTCTTTGAAGATGTCCATGTGACTATTGCCTGTCCCCATCGAGCAGTAAAAACGCTTTCGACCTTTCCCCTAATCCTAGGTTCGACCTCGGTGGACTCGATTTGTTTCTCTCCCTTCAGAGTACCTAGAACTTGCTGTTTCCTCCACAAAAAGCACCTCCGCAAAGGCGAGGCACATGTCGATTGCTCTCGCCACACAAAACTATGTCAATGTTTTTATCAAGGTCGATTACAATTCTTCGAAAGAACCTCGTCTCAAAATGTACATATCGTGCCTTGTGGGGTAGACCCTAGGATATGAGGGAAAAAACTATAACATTTTAAGTATGGTGTAAGAATAAAGGCATCAACACAGTCGTACTGCAGAACATTCAGTATACACAAAAAGGCATCGCAATGCTGAAGACACAACAGTTGGAATTTTGCTGATAACCATGAGCATGTGCTGACAGTGATCATTATACTTGACCATTCTAATGACCTACAACGACATTCATGTGGTGTTGAAGCTGTACTTGACCACCCTGCCTTGATTTAACAGTATGACTTCTCTTCTTTTCTTGTCTTTTCGTCTTCTCCACGCGACCTTGATGCTTCATCGACTACCTCGCGGCAGGTTGCAACTACCACTTCTTTTACAGCCTCCACTAATATCCAAATCCACATCTACCTCTGCCTTGCCTCTCCTGAAGCTTCTTAGCTTTTCTGAAGCTTCCACTTTGCTCTCCTGAAGCTCCTTAGCTTTTCTTCACTTTATTTTCTCCTCCGTCCTTCTTGCTCGCAAATCCAGGCAACAAATAGGATACCACGACGAAGACGGTGATAAAAATGTGAGGAGTATAGGCCACCATCTGCCAGACGTAAAGCGTGTCCTGCCACGTCAATACGCAGAAGGCGACTGCTAAGTTCGCTTTTAGAGTGAGTTCGTTGAGGAACTAGTAACTGATAAGTTGCCAAGAACTACAGGCACAATGAAGAGAACTAGAGTTCATCTTCGTTGAGGAACTAGTACAAAAACGCGTCGAATCAATAGATACGTCAGGAAGGCTCTGAATTATAAGTAGTCCAGTTGAGAGGAACAAGAAGACAAGCGAAGCTCGCTGCTTATTGAATATGAGGTGGACCGTGGAAGACCAGAGGACGTGCTATCTTCTCAAACGAACAGAATCTTTCTGAGCCTAGAACTTTGTGCTTTGAAGACGATTCAGTGAAGCTGCATCTACAAAATGATCTTCCTCATAAGTTAAAGAGCATCGCATGTAGCAGCCATCTTGAGACACTGCTGAAGAAGGCCGTGGGACTTTCTAGACTTTTACCAGTAGGCGGTGGCTTCCAAAGGAGTGCTAAACGCATATCGAAGACCGTAATTGCCACCGTTGACACAAAAAAGAGATAATAACCTGAGTTATTTGATGTGATATTGGACTTATGTTAGCTTGAGTTCTCAAAAAGAGTATTCTAGTACCCCGTATGACGGAAGTATAAGGTATAGTATCCAGCATCGAGAATTTTTCATCATACAGGATAAAAATACCAGCCCACACGCCATGCCAAAGTGCCGAGAATACCCTGGTCACCAGTGTCGCCAGAAGCTTGTTGGGAACGATGTCTAGACATCGTTCATACACGCAGCATTGCAGCCATTGTTAGAGCTGCCACGTTTGCATCCCTGACGCCATCCTTGGCTTCGTTTTCAAGGAGAAAACGGGCCAACGATGGCAGTGTGTGAGGATGCTTCAGCGGTAGCCTTAACATTGTGACGCCACTTGGTTCCAGCCAGCGACCATCTCCTTGATGTCACGCGACGTTTCTACTTGCCAAATGTCTGTGTTCTGGCCCTTTCTGAAGAGCTGTTTTGTTGCTAGTGCTACTCTGTAAGAAGACGTACTTTTTGTGCGCTTCATCACAGTTGTGGAAGAAGAGTCTTGAAATTCATCTACTCCCAAAGATAGTCCCGCAGTATTGGAAACTTTCATTAGAGCACCAACCTCGAGATCTGGAGGTCCCGCAGAACTTGTTGTACTCGTTGACGTTGTTGTTGTATCTAGAGGCCTGGTCACCATCTTCGGGTCTGAATATCCAGAGGCGACGCACGCTGCGTCAGCCATAGTCCACACTAGGTAGTACTTGAATCGGAACATGTCCACGGCAGCCGTTATGTAAAGCAAAATTAGAATGGAAATGTGTCATGGAAATGACTCACTTGTTCCTATTTTATTTAATCAACAGCTAGAAGTGTCGAAAGGTAGTCTGATGTGTTGACATCCTTCTCTATTTGAACAAGATCGTCGTGGTTAAAAAGGGGTAGTACAATCTTTCTTTTTGCCCTAACAAACGTAGGATTAGCGGCAGATCCGGCAACGTTTTTTTCAATGCAGTTATGCTAACCGGAAATATAGCACCCTGCAGCTGATAAACCACCAAACAGCCAGCCGCTTGCAGGAGAAGCAACAAAACTTTTCTTCTCCGAGCAGTACGAAGGTCCGGAAGAGGCACAAAAACTTCCACAGTTGATGGTTTAGTCGTGTTTACGTTTACCTGTGACGAACCGGCTTGGTCTGATGCACTCGTCGTGGAAGAAGTTGTCGTTATCTCCCCAGATGCAGTCCCAGACGACCCAGCATTATTGCTACTGCCTCCATGTGCATTATCTCCATCATCCTCTCTTTTTTGGCCTCCTCCTTCTTCACCGTGATTCTTGGATGCTGATGGTTCTGGAGGTGGATCTAGTAAAAATTCGAGGAAATCTCGGAAGCCGCCTGCTGGTCCGGTTAAGATTCCCGGAAAGAAGAAGACATAGGCACAAAAAAACAGGATCCAGATTGGCGTTGGTTCACTTGGTGGCACCACTGCACGCGAGAGTCGCTGTGCGGCGATCTTAGGCACCTTGTGCATCTCCTTTCTTAGCAGTTTTAGGAATAGAATTTAACGTAAAAAACATTGTCGTGCTTACTCAATCACTATTGTGTCAAAACCGCAGAGAAACTATCGTCCTTAACTTCCCCTTCCTCACTGTTTTTCCATCTGCCAGTTCAAAAGCGACTTGAGATAGTCGCACGACCAACATCATGAAAACGCCGCTTGGATCCGCCGAACCCTCTGTTGCGGCGAGCTCCCTTCCAGCCGACCCACGCACTCGCATGTGGCACCAAAACAATAAACTCATTGCGGAGAATAGGAGACTTAGAATATCAAGGTATACCGAAGACTTTTCAAAGTCAGTATTTCAATAAATAGAGTAAATGCTGTGTAGAGGACTCTCTATCAGGGGAATTAGAACATTAGAATAGGCAGATTAGAATATGCAATACGAATGTTGGTGGCAGGATAGAAATTCTGCTGACAGAGGAACTTGAATTTCTGTCTTTCCCAAAACCTCTACAACAAAGTCAAGATAAGCAGAGTTTCGCTTTCTGCTTTTTACCTCCACATTCAATCCCAGTACGTCGTCCCCAGAATCATAAAATCACAAACGGTGGCAGGTACAGCACCGCTACAGAAGCCACGAGCAAGACGGCAACCAACGGTTGCAAAAAACTCCCCGAGTATACCAACCACACTGCAAAGAGGCCCAAGGTCAGGGCAAAGAATACGCGTAGTAGGACAACCGTTTTCGCACTCGCATCTTGCCTCGTAAACAGGGCATCAACTTTTGAATCGAAATGGAGTTAGAATGTTGATGCACATTTGATATCAACTGAGCAAAAGTGAGATTAACTTTAAAAGACGTCAACGGGAATGTATCCAAATCAATCAAGGATCTTCATTAACCTTAGAAGACGAAGCCTTAATTGAAGCTTTTCCCTGAAGTCGCGTCAGTGTTGCTCCCGCCACCACTGCTGGCTTTTCGAGGCACCTCATCCACGAGTGTCCAACCACTATCACCCTTCGCTTGACATCCAAACACCGAAGAAGCTTCCGACCACAGGGCTTCATCGTTGCCACGTCTGCGTAGGACAAGGAACAATGAAAAGAATTAGAGCTTTCGGGGCCTATTAGGTAATAAAGTATAACTACAAGTGTAACTTGGCAATCGAAATCTAGAGATACTCTGACATTAAACCTGATGTGAACAAGAAAGTACTAGGTTAATGGCATAGCCATAGACAGAGGACCACAACTTAATACTATTTCTATGGTCATTCTACTTGTTCCTCGAGTCCTCTCGCGAGATAAAGCAAAGGTGACCGACGTGGAGCCACAGGAAGTAACGACTTCTACGTCTTTCCAATGTGGAAAAGTCTAAGAAAGGAACAAGCTGATCAGTCATTTTAAGAAACTACTTCTACGTCGTTCTAATGTTCGTAGTAGGAGTCAGTGGTGTATAACTTTATAAGTACTGAACTAATTGGTTGCTCATGCAGTCTTAAGAAAAGCCTATGTTGGCGATGAGCCAGAGGAAGGTGAGCAGCGCTTCTGCAGGAATTCCGATAAGCCGGATGTACCGATCCACGACGAGAGCGAAAGGCAGATGTCCAACATCATGCACACTTTTCTGAAAAATATTGCCGAGATCCATCTTTCTTAGGATAGGATAGGCCGCGTCTTAAAAAATTGCGTGTGAAAATGTGTGTGTAAACCCTCGTAATATGCTACTAGAAGGAGTGGTGCAAGTCGTGGATAAGACAAAGGCACGAGTGATTAGTAGGTGGTATCCGAGGGAAACAAGTAGAAGTCAAATATCATAGTGTTAGGTCGTCAAGTTAATCATCACCTTGAAATAATAGACATGCGAGAATATTCAATCAGCAGTCACTGTACTAACAAGGCCAAGTCTCCTGCATGCCTACCACCGATATTATGGAAACAACTTTTATGCGAGCCACCAGAAGGCAGTGTGTACTTCTCTCCAAGTATAGATATTAGACTTTGACTTTCTTTAAATATACAACTGGTGGCACAAATTGATTGATTGATTGATTGATGTGCCTGGCAAGAGATATTACTAAGATCGCCACGACGCTCTACTTTCCTGAAAGATCACAATTCTATAAAGCACTTCTTTAAAGAACAAGGCACGCAATAGCATCCAACATTCTACTTTAGAAGTAGTACCGAGAACCGATGTTTTACTCAGTATCTTTTGAATCGTTCAAAAGACACTGAGGATGGAACCGATGTCTTCCCCCGATCATCCTTGTCATCTTTTGAACGATTCGATCATATAAATGATGGCACTGTGAAGTCTAGGAGTTTAGAAGACCACTCGTATCGAGGAAACTCATGTTAGGACTCAAGTCTTCAGACCCATCGTGTCTCAGTTTCCCCATGCACGAGAGCAGATTCCTTGTTGGGTACAGATTGTCGCCCTGGTCAACATCAACAAGTGCAACATCAAACTGTGCAAACGGGTTTTCTAAGGAGTTTTCTAAGACATTGACATTTTCTACCTTTGAATTCTGTCATCCCATTTCTTTGTTCTTACGTTTTCGTCCCTATTTGATTCTTCCGCGATCAATGTCATCAACTCTTTCTGTCATGTCATGTCATGTTTCCGCTGTTACTACAGGGCCAAGTAGATTTGAGGTCGTTCAGCCTTTTTGTACCTTCTAAAAAGAAGAGCAAGAAGACCCTATAACGTACTATGCATCCAATTCAAGATCTCATCACTTCGTCCTCCGAGAATAGTATCCACATCAAAACTTTTCACCTGAGAGACAGCTAGAAATTCGGATCATAGACCGTCACAATACTTTTTATGCTATTTTCATGGTGGTAGGTTCGCAAGTGTCGCCGGTCACGGATTCGATATAGGTTTACCCCTGCGGAACTGCTTGCGTAGCAAAGACCCCTCGGTGCGTCGAAGCAAACTGCCGGGGAAAAATTGTCTTGGGGAATTAGAGTGGAAAACCACCCAGAGAAGCAAAATGCGATGACGATGAAGGGGCATCCACTCGGTTTCAAGTAGAGGAAAGCGGTAAAGGAACTGCAGCTCTATGCAGTACATAGATATGAAAAGGCTTCACAAACCTCAAGCAAATGCAAAGTGGGGACGGGTCTTCGAGACTCTCAACGTCCAGCACTTGTAGCTGTCCGGTACCAGTAATTACATCAATGCAATACAATTAATCTCGCACAGTTTTCAGTGCAGACTTGCCTTAAGTTAAAAATCTCTACTGAGGGATGCAGCACTGGGTTGTGCAGAGAGTGGTACTCCACGAAGTAGAGCTGACTGGCGATGACAAACCCGTCGGGACCCGCGTCCATAGAAGACACGCCCATACGATGTGGAAACGTCCGGAGAGTCGGGAAAGCGGGTAGGGGATCGACTATGCCTGGAATTTGGGAAGCAACAAGTGTTCATATTAACAGTGGAACTAAAAAAATGTTTTGCATGAAGGCATAAGCCTAAGACTCAGACAGAAAACAGTAGAACTAAACTTTGAAATGTTAATCATTAATAATGTTGATAGTTCTTCAAAACTGTCAATAATTTTGAATGATAATAATGTTGATAGTTCTTGAAAACGTGATTGTGGTAGTTCCTTGTATCAACATTTTCATCCTCGTTTTTAACGCGTCGCTTTTCACTAGAACTCTTTGAACTCCCCACTGGGTCACGGTCCTTCTTTTCCCTATGGATATTGTTAGAAAGGAACAAATTATGTCAAGCTGCTCTCCCAGTAGTACGTTTGAAATAGAAGTTAAAGCTATTACTTCAGAAGAAGTAATCTGGTCTCTACTTATCCAGAAGTAAACTGGTCATTTTTTCGGGACTTGTGTTACGTTCTTCTTCTCCTTTCTTCTCCTCTCATCTTTTCTAAAATGAAGAAAAAAGAGGTGTCCACTGCTTGAATTAGAGTGGCTTTATAATATAGAGCAAGAAGTCCAACAATTAAGTTCATAGTCGCCATGCGTCAAAAGATACCTCCAGAACAGGTAAATGAATGAATGAATGAACATACAACAGTGAGCCAACAAGTACCGGTTTCCAAAAGTTTGCTTCCAACTGGCGTCGTCGCTAGGACCTTCCCTCGGGAAATGAATTTGACCGAATGCACTGCGTACAAGCTGCCGATTGCCTTGGTTTTTTCGACGTCCATATACCGGTTACCGTTCCACTAAGATTAGTCGTGGAACACAGAGGATGTAAATATCAAGGTCGAGAGGGCCTTTTGCCAATTACTTATTTGCATTTCGAACTTCTCCATTCGAACTTCTCAAAAGCTATTTGACCTTTCTATTGTTCCTTGCCATAACAAATCCGGCAGAGGGGACGTGAAAAACTGCGTACATCCCATACATTGTTAGTCTTTGCGCTATTGCACAGCCTTGACCTCCAGCACAACCTTGACCTCCTGCTAGACTTTCTTATTGGATGAAAGTATTAAGTCAAGAATGGCACCTCCAGTGCAGAATGCAATGTGGAAACCCTTAACATTGACTAATCCATCTTCGGAGCCTGTGGCTAAAAAATGTCCCTCCCAATCGACACATTTGAGTCCAGCTTCCCCGTCACCGGGTTCCGGAATGGACTGAATCACAGAATACGTGAAACTCTAGTTAGAATCTCTTCCCAGTTCTTAGTTAGAATAGGAGATGAAGCGTGAAACTCTCTTTAGTTGGAACAGGATCATGAGATATAGAAGCGTGAACCTCTACGTGAAACTCCATCCTTCAACATAGGAGTACTAGTGGAAAATAGATACTCATCCACACTTAACTTCTTTACTCCGCAAATCAAGGAACCGCACTGCGCCATCACTGCATCCTACTGCTAAAACGCGATAATCTCTGTCGGATGAGTCAAGCGCCTGTAGTTTATGAAAAGAGTTTCATCTACTCCCCTTGTTCTCATGCAGACCAAGACTATCTTCATGGCAGACAGCACTTTGCAGTTTCCCTCGTCTTGAACAAAAGAAAGTGAGGAGCACTGGGAAGATCTTCTTGTTTTTGACCAACCAAACTGCTAATGTATGTATGTATGTATAAAAAGTTGCTCCAGAAACGCCATGATCCTGAACTTGATGAGCACGTTGAACAGGTTAGCACCAACACTAGCGTCTCTCTCGTGGACGGGCAAAAACCTAAGAAAGTATCACACGTAATGTTCTTCTTCGATATCCAGTTTCTGCGTTGTCGTTGGCTCATCGTTGTGTTGATCACGGATTACATTTAGGTCCAGATCTCGTAGGTCCACCAAGTCCTTTCTCGGCTCTAAGTCCTGAGAAACCGGCGAAGCAGCTAGTAGACTGTGCGTTGAGAGTGTACGAAACAGGTTCTTTGTATTCTCTCCTTCTCCTGTCACGTCCTCCTCCGTCTCTTCTTGTCCTGAAAGGCAGACATCATCGTGTTGAAGATCATCGACAAGTTGGTGCGCAGCCGCGGTACCTCCGGGGGGGACGAACTTGTATTAGATTGTGAACAAGAACTAAAGAACCTAAGAATTACCGAACAACTCTAACGAATTGTATCAGAGGTGACTAAAAAAGAGTGTTAGAACCCGTGAGGTCAAATGCCAGTTCTATCCAAAATGTGTGAGCGACTGATTTGCATGATCTTGGTCATGACGTTGAGAAGCTAACAACACTCCCCCGTAGTTCCTTCCGCCAATATGGCTAGGAGGTCAAATAAATGCAGAATTCTCATAAGTAGTTGCATGTTCTTCCTCACTCCTAACATCAGCAGAGCAGAGCGCTTGCATTTTCAGGCAAGTAAAGTTAGAGAAGTAACTAATTATATGTCGTTCATGGGGCGGTAGAGTCCAAAAGTGGATATTCATTTTCATACTGCAGATATTACCTCATCATGAGGGTAGCTGTTGACACTTCTATCTCTATGTAGACCTCATCATGAGGGCTGCTTCCCACTTCTGTGGATAGTACCTCATCAAGGGAGTCCCCCACTCTTCATCATGATTGTACTAGTTAAGTCAGCGTATTCTTGTTCTTCTGTTGATCTAGTAGTATTATCTACTTACGCAGGTATATTCCAGGTTACTTTACGAGGTACAACAGCCCATAATTACTTCTTAAACGAAGACTCCTCAAGAGTTAGCCTTATTTTTTGGAGTGGAGGACCTCATCAAGGGAGTTCCCACTTCGGTAGATACCTCACACGACAGTGAATACTTCACACACGGTCACGGTATAGTGAAAAATGAATCTTAATAAACGCTTGCCGTCCTGCGCCACCTGTAGAGCGGAGTTGAAAATGGCCAAGAACATCCAGGCTTCGCCCACCCCTTTCGTACGAGAAGACACGCACTTCACTCGGATCGCATGCAGCTGCAAAGCGTATCTTAGAATGGTCTCCGCAAGTAGTAACATGTTGTTCACATGCTCTCTGAATAGACTTAATCGAGACTCGTGTTGACTTGAATAGACGAACAAGCACTCTCTTACTTCATCCAGTAGAAGTAACATGTTATACCGTAACTTTTACCGCCGTGACAGCAGTGACCCTATCGGCCATGTCCTGCGATGCCGAGGGTCGCACAACCATGTCGTTCGTATCTTCTAGCCTTAGATGAGTGTAGCCTAGAGTATTGTTTGCTTGGCAAAATAAACCTAGGATATGAGGGAAAAGCCTAGAGTTAAGCGCTTTAAGCATCGATGACCAGGACAGCATTAATGATCAGTGAAAAATAGAGGTCTGTTTTGTTGTATTCAAGTTATGAAAGCGGACAGTATTAATGAATACGAGCATGCTGTTTTCTCCAACAAGAAAATTTTAATGGACAGTTACGGAGATTATGCTGTTTTCTCCATACAAGCATAAAAAATGGTTTCCAAAAAGATCGCAGACGGGTTCGCAAAAGAGGCGGACTTGTCCATCATCACTTCCGGTAATCAGAGACTGCATTCTAACGGATTTTGAAACTCTATTTCGCTGAACAAGAAAGAGAAGCGGACCTCTCTGACGATGATGCTAGTCGATTCGGATTGGACCTACGACTTCCCTAAATCTCTTTCGAGTTCTCCGAATTTCTCTGATGTTACTACTCTAACTTTATTTAGTACTTAGTAGTACTCGATCGGAGTAGTTGGTTTCCAAGACGCTAGTTCTTTTTTGGATAAGTGTCTCTATGTAATATTATAAACCTATTACTTTTAGGGACTGTTCAATGAGTCTACTTCTTCTACCTTGGTTGACAGGAGAAGTGGTACTAAGTTCTCTTCACGGGTCTCTTGCCCCTTTCGCTCTCTTCATAGGCTAAAAATATAAATCTCTCGCAGGACCGACGGTGGGGGAAGCCCCTTCACTCAGGACCGTGCTCGTGAAGAAGACTTCAGCTAGCACAGATGATAAAGCACAGATGTTGACAGCACAAAAGATTGCAACTTGCAAAGCTTTCTCTTAGTGGAGTTGGTTGCAGGATCATCATCATAATCATTATCTTTGGGTTTGCTCCAGACCTCCGTCAATCCGCAAGCTGACAACTTGTTGTACACCTAGTTTTAGCGTCCCACTGCAACTAGTTGTAGCATCCCACTAGAAGCATCTTAGCCATTAGTAGTCGCTTGACCAGAACACGCTTTTCCTATTATTTGCTTGACTTGTAAGTATTCGTTGCGTTTGACGGTTTCTCCTATTCTTGAATGCATGCAGCAACAATACTGACTTTTCCCCAAGAATGTGGATTTCAACACTGCTCGCCATTCGCCTGTCAAAGTTTATATGAAGCGAGGTGGTGCGCGTATTATCTATCTCTATCTCCATCTTCTAAATAGATGTAGTATAATCAACCGCGCATTCACTGGCTCGTCTACACCATCACATTCATATTTTATTCTCTTCTTCCTTTCATCATCTTCATCTTCTTATTCCTTCGACAGCGATCGGACCAACATCCAACAACGGTGCTCACTCATTCTCCCTGTCAATGCCGTGCCATGTCATGTCAACATGGAACCTCTTCTATAGCTTTTTTTTTGTCCTACTGTCTACACGCCCGAAGCATTTACCTAGTGGACGCGCTCTTCGTGCCTATCTATGAGGCCTTTGAATGTGGTAGTGCCTCCAGTGGAGAGCTACCCATCGATATTTTAATTAGCAGGCCTCCTTCTATCTCGGCGAGTTGAGTTTTTCTACGGATCAGCATCGCCGCGCGCCCCGGCCGCCCCGCCATCCGGAGGTCGCGCGATCACCGCGTCGTAGATTGTGCCCGGCTTTGCCAATGCGGTCGACTTCAGGCACAAGCGAGTCATCCCGATTTCGCGGGAGTTCCTAGGGGGTGGATCACGAAAAATAGGAAAGCCACTCTCATCCGTACGCCCTCCGGAAAGCTTTCTCGTTGCTTCTGTCACCAGGTCAGCCATTGTAGTCGTTCCCCCGCTGACGTGAAGCTGAAACACGCAGCTCTGCCTCTGATCAGGTGGAACACTGGGACCGCACCAATCCGAATCCCCAAACTGCACCACCACCGTTACCTGATCATCCGCGCTGGGGTGGCTCGGCTGGATGTCCTTGAGAGACTCAAGTGTGAGGGAATCCGTAAACCCCTTTCCAAACGGCGCCTCTGCGATGATGAGATCAAGTTCGGGCACAGGCCATACTTGCGCAGTCAAGCGCGGGCACAGCCGCAGGTCGCCGACGGCACCCGGCACGTCAATCCATACCCCCCATAAATAATCCACAATGAAGTCTGGACGCCAGGCGTCCGGAAATTGGCGAAACTTTTTCTTCGCGAATTGAATCTCATCACTGGCTTTTTGCACCTCTACAAAGCTGAGCGGTGCGCCGGTCATGTCGGACATAGAGGCAACCTTGAATGGCTGAAGGTCCAGAAACTCCGGCGTCACCGTCACTGTGGCGTCATCGGCATCGTTGCGCGTTGCCAACAGCATCCTCCCGCTCACTCCAGGAATCATGGACAAAAAGGAGCTACCCAAACCGGGAAGGCCGCCTGTCATCATGGCCGCGCATGCCGTTGCGGCGGTGCGGAGCGGACGACGACTTTGGTGCGCCATGATCCTTATATATAGTACTGAAGAAGTCGGCTTCTAAAAGGCTTCTAAAGTTTCTAGCTGATGGCGCTCTGTAGTTTCTAGTGGATTGTCGGCTTCTAAAAGTCTGTGTTTGTTCTCTATTTTCAGTCTTGGCGGTCTTTCCTGTTGCTGGACCTGGAAATCCTCTGTTACTAAGTGTTTTTCTAGTTGATGGCGCTCTGTAGTTGATCTATCGAGCTGCTCTCTAATATTATACTTAGTCGTTCTTGTGCTGTGGTAAGGCCTTGAAAGATACGAAGATCGACCTCTTTTGCAAATCAAAGAAGGCGGCTCTAGTGTATTGCTTTGTTTGCAATAGCTCAAATGGCCGGCCACTGACAAGTTGAGGAATGTGGTCGGTTTTTGCTTCTGATGGCGTTGCTCCTTCTGTGCTTGTCTATGGCCTTGCTGGTCCTCGTAAGAATGTACACGCGGAAACAGAACTCAGGAAAAATTTGATTTTTGAACGAAAGTCCATTTTTTCACTTTTGAACTGGTGAGACACGAGACTGGTGGAACATATTCAGACAAGTTGATGAGAAGAGCAAAGAGGAAATAATTGGAAAGAAAGATTTAGAGTCTTTTTGCGTCATTTTCTAAACTTACTATCAAGGTCATTTTCTAAACGTTCAGGGTTTAGGAGGATCTTTCGAGGTTTCTGCACACAAAAACACACATCATCATCATCATCATCATCAGGTGCAAACACATGGCATGATTGATTTTTCAAAAAAATATAATATACTCATTTACTTATTGCCACCATCTATAGCAAACGGAAAAGATTTCAAAAGACAACGTAGCAGAGGATGGCATAGAGAACAATCATAGACTGGAATGACTAGTGGGTAAGTGATCGCACTCACGTCGAGTGCCTTGCGAGGATTAAGCCATGAAGTAGTAGATCTCAATCTCCTATGGAGTACTTACAGTTCTTCTCTGTGTTAGCGTTTCTCAGACACGATTTCCAATACAATGAGTTTCATATATTCTCCAGGCAATAGTTAAAAGCTTCTTCTAGGTTCCAAAATTGTCCTTGCCAATCTTTTTGCCTTCTTTGGAAGTTTTGGCGATATACGTACTAGATTTCTCAAGACACAGTCTTCGCGAAACACGGTCCACACATCACTATTTTTGCATCACATTAACCGCATAGTCTACACACCCATCATTTAATTAAAGAGATCATTAAAAGTGTAATTATCAAAATAGAATATCAATAAATCTTCAATAGAGTATTCGAATTGAAGATTTTTTTCTAAGACTCTATAAAGGTAAACTACAAGGTAGTAGTACTTTCCATCCCTAGAATATGCGGTGTGCTGCACCTCTTCTTGCTCCAGTCATGCCACCTCTTCTTGCTCCTTTCAATCGATAATCTTCTCCACCGGTTCAATCCTTTACGAGGTAAAGAAGATTATCGGTTGAACGGCACCAGATTGGTCCTCTTGAGCTAGTGGAAACACACCAGGAGGCACATTGACCGAGAACGAGTACGGGTAGTTGTGATCATTTTTAGAGGGTGAAAAAATTGTTGTTGGTTTCTTGTAGGGTTGTGATTTTTAGCGGTAAAAAGAATGCTAACCCTACTACAATTCTTGAAGTACATGGTCATGTTCATGAAGAGCTTCTTCTCCCAGGCTTGTAGTGTAGAGGGTGAAAGCGAATAGCGACTAGCTCATCTAGCTTGAGTCACGAAGGCGAATTGCTATCCAATTATACCCTGATCATCACCATCACCATCATCATCGTCGTCCTAGATACCTCTTCGGTGGTCATCTTTTACCACTGGCAAGACGAGATAGTTTTATTCTAATATGAGCTTATTGCCAGGTATATGAAATCAGGCCTTAATCTGATTGCCATGAAAAGACGTATGGCTTCGTTGATGCGGTTGTTGATGCGGTAGCGGTTGTTGCACATCGCCAGTATTCATCAAACCGTTTAATAGCTGCTGATGTTGCCCATCCGTGAGTAGATAGTTGTGAGAAGAAGCCACGTCTTGTGCGATAGGAAAGGGCACTTGATGTGACACCTGCACAGAACCCAGAAACTGCATATTGGTCTGGTTCGTCTGGTATTGGCTTAGAGGCGTTAGTCCACGTTCCTGATATTTCTACAGACAATAATCCCAAAAGGAAATAAAGTGTTCTTGGGATCTAATCAATCCAAGTAACCATCTGAGAACGAAGGGTCTGAAAAACACAGTGTTTTTGGGTATACTCGATGCAAGTAAATCTCTGAGAACGAACGAAAGCTTTAAACAAATATATAAATATTTATATTAGTAGCCTTATACATAGTACTGAGGCACGACAAAGGATTACTTTTAGAAAAGGGCAGCTGTAGTAAATGTTATGTAAACTAGTACTATCAAAATAGACCACAACTACAGGAGGTGGTGTTAAACCCTAACAATTGAGCTTGAGGTCCCGCAAGACCATGTTGATGGCTTCGTCTCCGCTGATCGGATAACAGGTTGCGTCTTTGGTGCGTCACGTGATGTGGTGGATCTAGAGAGGTAGAGTCTCCCTGGTATCCTACATAAGCAGAGTTCGTCCACTGTTGAATTAGAGCTCACGGTAAGTATGGTCAGTATCTCACTAAAACCCTATGCCCTAGTAGATTCAATTCCCTTGATGTGACCCTATAACCCATTCTTTTTGTTTTTTGTAGTGCGAGCGAGTTCCGATAAATCAAGACCCACCACCGAGCGGTCCTGTGCAAAAGCGTGACGCGTATCAATCGCAAACCATAAGTGGTGTTGATATTGACCCTGTTGCTGTTCAGAGACCTCCATGGCCGCGTTACCGTAAAGTGGCGCGTTCCGAATGCGCACGCCGCTACGTTTAGGTCGCGGAGCAGCATTTACTTGAGGCCGCTCCACTCCGCCTCCTGTAGGAAGAGCCTTCGGAAAGGGAGCTGTTGAATCTCTCGCGGCACTCCGTTGCTCTGGAAAAAAGGCACTACGTCCTGCTGAAGCTGAGGATGTAGCACTTTGTTGTTGTTGATGTTGGCCTTGGCCACTTGGTATTAGAGGAATCTCAATCGCTTCGTTCGTGATTCGCGGTTCGTTTGTTTGTGTTTTTGCAGAGACAAAGTCCAACATGAACAGATTGGTCCGTTCTATGTTGCCTGACTCTTAGTCGAAAGCTTGAAAACATGAAGTTCATCAAACATGTAGGTTAGCACACTCACTACCGCTCTTTTCATCTCGACCAGCCTAAAGATGCTGAGCCTCCTTGTTGAACGCGACTCGAGCTTGAAGACTGCTGCAGAGCACTTGAAGCTGTACTTCTCGCAGTTCTGGCGCCTCCTCCTGCACTTCCTGCTCCACTTGAACTCGATGCACTTCCTCCTCCACTGGGTGTACTTCCGGCAGCTGTGCTTCGAGATGAAGCTGGTGTAGTTCCTTGTGCCCCTCGTGCTGAGGAGGATGAACCTTTGTTCCTGGATTAGAGATTCCCTCTAGTTGTACCAGAGATGTTCTACAACTAGAGTTGTTCAACAAAATAGAAGAAGAGACGTGTAGGATCCGAATGATGGCATCGAAGTCGTTACAGTACAACCACTACTTGCTTCTTTACTATTGCTTTACGAGGACTTACTCACTTTTATAGACCAAAACACAAATCCATAGACGATGAAATAAGTCCTGTTACTAAAAAATTCTTTCTTAAAAGCTATTCCTTCCAGCTCCATGTCCTCGACCTCCTGGTCCACCTGTGGTGTCCTCTCCATCCCGTCTAGTATCCTCTTCCTCGAAGTTTAGAGCTCGAAAATATTCACGTTTCATGATCGTATTCTCAGAGTCCGAGAAGAAAACTGAGAAAAATGAGATACTTACAAAAACTCAGTGGAGATGAATCATGACGAGCCTTAAGAAATCCTCCCATTGAATTTCTCCCAACCCGAACTTTTTACGGCAAAACGAACACTGCCCTCCTCCAGCTGTGTTCTGCATTAGCTGCTCCCAGCAAGACAGGTGATAACAGGGCTTATTACTCCCCAAGCAGGCACAATTGGTCAGAGACATTAGAGCAGGCGGGATAAGACGGCTTAAATATACTAGGAGAAAAAGCTACTGCATAGGTGATTAGGAACATTAGAGGATACAAAAACTTTGGGTACAAGACAAGGGGGAGAAGAGGATGAAAAGGGGAAAGTTAGATTTGGAATTGAAGATAACCTAAGATTAATATTGCATTTAGTTCTAATAGCCCATAGCTGTACTGCCGTCTCAATCGCGCGCAAAGCATGCGGCTTCTTTTTCCTTGTTTCAGGCTTCTTTTCCTTTCGTTCTAGTTGTGCACCTACCTGGTTATTTCGATACTCCACAGTTTTCGCCCCCGTGCTTTCGTGACTCTGACTTCGCGATTCAATGCAGTTGACGAATGGTCTGCCCAAAATTACTACATCGAAAGAGGAAGATGAGGAGTCATCGTCTCTGGCAGCCGCTGTTGTATCTTGTACATCAGCACCTAAACCTTGTACATCAGCGGCACCTGTTGTATCTTGCAGCCTTTCTTCATCAGCACCGCCTGCATCTTGCGCTTGCCTTTCTTCGTCATCTCCTTCATCCTCTCCCTCAGACTCTTCGAGCAATTTGTTTTGGCATACGCAACAGAAACCGCCATTGTCTATCTTCCGTAGAGCGTCCTCAGGCATGAGCCTCAAGCGAACAGGCTCTCCAAGTGGCTCTAACGATGCCTGTCCCTGGGAGTTAGAAGGAGAGTTATCTCGTGATTTAGAAGACTACTAGACGGAGGCTGACCTTTTGAAGTAGAAAACTAGGACAAGGAGACTGATCGAACTAGACGGAGACTAATACTGATAGAAGATCATGAAGATGTTCGATGTGAGTGTAAGGAAAACAAAAAATATCTGTAATCATGCACATGCTGCAGCTGTCTGATGTAGTAAAAAACTTCCTTGTGTATTAAGATTCTACTCGTACTTCGCCTTCTTCACTTAATATAAGTGTCTCACAAAGTGATCCCGCTCTTAACCAATATCGCCGCAGCCCACGCAACTAGGGCACCATGTGTCAACCCGGCTCCGCCACCATGAAACTCGACCAAATCGACCAGCATGTTGCATAGAAAACGACTATTCCGCCACACTGCCGGAGTAGCGGTCCGGCCTCATCTATGAAGGCTGAATAGAAAATCTGTTCATACTACTTACGTCATGCCATGGTACCTCTTTTGTAGCATTTCGCGTCTACCTATGAGGCCATTCAGTGTAAAGGTACCTCCTATGGAGAGCCTATCATGCGCCGACTTTCTATAAATTTACATTAGCAACCACAGTTCTTGGAAAGTCGGTATAGAAATGATCTTGATCAACACTAAAGATGAAAATCAGTCAATTTACATGATGCTCCTAGTTCGTTGAAACTAGGACTCGGACGAGGGAAATCAACCTAATATGGTGGCCGAGCCAGCCTAACTAGGAAAAAACAAAACGGACGGAAGGAGGCGGAGTGCTTCTAACACTAAATACTCGAGTCATGAAGACTTCTCAACATAATGCATCGCTGTTCCGACGTTCAAGTTTTGCTCCAGCTCCGACAAAGCTCTCCGAATCAGTGCACGTAAAGCCTCGCTGGAAACACGCTGGCTGAGAACTTCATCCACCGTACGTCGCCTCTGTCTATGTCTACGAGTGAAGAGTTGTGGCACGACCTCCTGCAAGGAGGGTGCCTGCTGCTGCTGCGCCACTGCTTGTCCAACTGCCGCTTGATGTTCGGAAGTGGCAGCCGGCCCTGAAGGCACAGCAGCAACTTGACCCGCGGGTGCAACCGGCGCTTGGTGTGAGGCACCTGATTGACGACCTCCTGATGAGCCTGCTTGACTTCCTTGACCTGGATTTGAAGCCGTAGAGCCTTGACCTTGAGCTGAGGACCCTGCTTGCCGAGGAGATAATTCACTTCCTAATCCGTGGCCTCCAGCGTTATTTGGATAGAAAGGTCGAAACTCCGGACCCGAGGAAACTGGGTATCTACTTCGCGTACCATGTGATTGAGATGAGACTGCGCTCACTGGAGTCACTGCACCTGGTGTGACGGTTGTAGTATGTGTGACGGTTGTGGTATCCGCACTAGCAGACGGATCACTATTGGAGAGACCTGCTGCATTTTTAGAAGTTGTACACATGATTAATAGTTGGAAACATCTTGGAACGAAATGACTGAAAAATGGTAGGTCGTTTCCCTGCTTTTCCTCGTATCTATCCATTTTCGAAATTGAAATCTCTAATACCAGGAGAAGTTGTTGCAGTCTGTCCTCCATCTCCACTGCCATGAGTGCGGGCTCCGTTGTTAGCTATCTTTAGACCTTCCCTTTCTTCATCTTGGAGAGCATCTTTGACCTCTACTCATCGAAAGCGAGTCAGAGAGACATGCGTCTGAGGAAGAACATGGTGTTGATGGTGTTGCAAAAGCCTTAATATCTGTCCTCGAGACGTCGTTTCCCCTCCTCCGTAGTACCCACTCCTAGCCGACGATAAAGGCATCGGCACACTGGGATAGCCTGCTCGAGCAGTATTCCCATGCGGTCCACCTCTCCTACCACTAGTACCTGGGGTATTGCCATTACCTGAAGCTAAACCAACTGCTGCTCTGCGGGTACTATCGAGCTGTCCCTCAATCACTGCGCGTCGAGTTGTACTATTCCAGTCCGATGGAGTTGGAGGAGGTGCTGGGGTTCCTCGAGCCACACGTTCTGAACCAGCATGATGACGCGTTGATGTTCTCGAAGATGCTGAAGCTTCTACTGCAGAACGTGTTGAGGATCTCGAAGATGTCAAGGCTCCTTCTCCTCCTTGGTCGTAGTGTGCGCGTAAACGTGTGCCACCCGCGCGCGTCACACTCACTTCGAACACCACAACAGTAAACCAAGGCACGAGAGAACTCAGACTCTTCATCATCATGATTGTGCGCTTCTTCCTCTGTAAGTAACCAGGTCGTTGGGGTACAACAGCCCATCAATAGTGTTGATGAACCAAGGAAGACCAAAGACTTGATACTTCTCTAAACAGAGGAACTCGCTGAGCCTGAAACTTCAACTTGGAAGAGGAACAGCTCATAAATAGTTTTTCAGACGAAGACTCTTCAAGAGTTAGCTATGTTTTTTGCATTGAAAAAAAAACTAGCATTTCCCCTATGCCTTCATATTTCTACTAGCATGTACTAGGTAGATCATTCGAGGATTCATTTATTGATCTTTCTACCCTCCACTATGGAGGCAAACACTTTGCAAGATGTCACAGAGGGCTACCAAAAGACACCGCGACAAGCACAAGCACTCCCTTCATCTCTCAACTAAAATTATAGCAGTCTCAACCATCATCATGTCATGTCACGTGTCTCCAATTTGACTTGCCAAATCAACTTTGAGACCAGCCCTAGGGGAACTATTAAGTCGAAACCGTCCCAAAGAGCGTCAGCCGCACTCGTACGTCTCTTACGTCAACAGCAACACATTGGCTCACGGAAGATAATGGTACAACATCTGATTCTGAAGATCCAGCTTTTTCTTTCAACTTCTACCTCTTTCAAGAACCCACGTACAACTTCCCTAGATAAATAAAGATGTCAAAGTCAATGTCTTTGGCGAAACAAAACAAACATCTGCTAGAAAAGAAAAGACTGCATGTTCCTGTTGATCTCGTCTGGGAGCTGCAGTTCATTTTTGTACATGGATCGTTTTAGAAGCTGCTACTGGCTTACTCGTCTAATACATTTGACTTTGATCTATAATCGCTCCACTTCCTACTCTTCTAATACATTGCTCTATGATCGTTCCATTCTCTACTGGTTCCTCACAGCCACAGTTCTAAAGAAAAACTTAAAAAAACGCACAATCCCTAAACAAATGTTCTACCAATTATCTTTTTTTACCCATTCAGAGGCCAAAACCCTTTCTAGTACTCAATAACTCACTGTCATTCATGAAGCCCAAAGCTCATTCATCTAGTCAACACCAAGATGAATTCATCGGATCGTCAAGCCATAAAAACCACCAAGCCATAAAAACTCTGGTCATCAGTTTACGAAGTCCAAAGCCCAGTCCAATAACACTCACCATTTTATAGTACTCTTTGTCTTCAAAGTCCAGACCCCTTTCTAATAAATAGAAATACTCTTTGTCATCTTCCAATCACTCTCCCACCTACAGAGTCCAGAACTCTCTATACTGTTCTAGGTGTAATGCGCTGACTGACATGCACAAGGAGAAATGCACTCGCCAACGTGAGAGCCAAAAAGTTGCTCTCACAGTTGGTTGGGCCGTCTCAGAGTCTTCTTCAGAGGTTGCTCGGGCACCAGTTGGTTGAGCCGTCTCAGAGTCTTCTTCAGAGGTTGCTCGGGCACCAGTTGGTTGAGCCGTCTCAGAGTCTTCGTCAGCCGGTTGGGACGTCTGATTGTTTTCTTCTCCCTCTTCTCGACCGCCACCACCTGGCGAAGAAGCCGCAGTCGACGCCTCTTCCTCCTTATTGTAAGAAAAAAAAGAGGACATAGCAGACACCGGCTCGTCCAGCACTGCATCTCTCGTAGAGGCATGGTCTTCTTGGCCAACCACTGCACTATCTACTCCAGCTACCTCTGTACTATTTCCACCTCGTTTTTTCTCAAACAGCATCTCTTGCAGCTTCCAAGGCCTAGGACTAGTCGTGTTCGTATCTATGACTTTTTGGTTGTTTTTCCTCACTATTTTTTCGATGAGTGAGCAACCATTGAGACTAGCCAGAGCCTGTAGATTCGTGGAGAGCTTCGTAGCAGTCCGGTTGATCTTGTCTTCGTAATTTGCATGATAAGCCTCGATAGGAAGATGATTTGCGAGTTGTTGAAGAACCCTGGAAGCGGTTGTACATCTAATATTTGACACGGTTGAAAAAGATGCTGGCGAATCCTTCTTACGGCCACTACTGCTGCTCTCCCTATCTTCTTGGAACGCGTGCGGCTTCAGCTTGTCCTCTTTCGCCGTGAAATGCTTCTTCAGCTTGTGCTCTTTCGTGGTCAGAATAGTCTGGTAGCTTCCGTTGTAGCAGAAATCTTCATAAACCAATCGAAAAGCTTCACCACCATGATCTTCACCATTAGTCTTGTTAAAAATCTGATCCAGTTTCCCAACACACCATCGAAAAGGTCGTGTCACGTATTCGTCGAATTCCGAACTGACGACTGCTAGATGATCCAAATACCGGAAAGACTCTGTCGTCTCCTGAGAAACGTCGCTGAAGTATTCATCCGTGCCATCCTTGTGTGCGACCAAGGAGTAGATCCACAACTGTTTCCGGGTGTCCGCTCTACGTTTTGCAGAAGCAAATAATCGCCTAGATACTTGGTGACAATCGTCAGATTCTGCTGAAGAACGGTGGTCTTGTAGTCCTCTTTTTCTCGCGGAGAGGTCCTCCTTTTAATAGAAGATGTTGAAGTCCTGCAGGTAGTACTAGAAGGATCTCCTCCAGCGAGAAGAGCATCTTGTGCGTTCCTATTTTCCCCCAATTCCTCTTCCTCATGCTCATCGTCTGCCTCATCCATAGCCAATACCAGCTCTTCTAGCGTTTCCTGTGCGTCTTGGTAGGCGAGTGTTGTGGGGTCATCTTCTTCTTCGTCTTCATCTCCGTCTTCTTTGCCGTTAGAAATAGGGCCATCTTTTTCTTCTTCTACTTCTTCTGCTCCTTTAGAATTTTCGTCGTCGCTGCTAGAGGACCTAGTAGAAGCATCGCTTTCATCACTCCCGTTAGTAGAAGCATCACTTTCATTGCCAACTTCCACCTGCTTGTCAGCCAAGACCGCAGTACAACACCTGCCATTCCTCAATTTTTCAGGCAAGCCTACCGAAGCTATCAAGACCAATCACGTAACGTGGCGATTCTGGGATAGAAGGCCTCCGTGGACTCTTACATACTCAACCGCCGTTCTTCCACCGATAGAGACGCCGGCAATCGTAAGACCGAGACTTTTCTTGCTATGGGAGGTAGAAGTTGTTGTATTAATTTGTATTTGTAGTACTAGCAGTACTCGTACTTGTTGTTGTCTTAAGAGCAGTGCTGCTTCTAGAGGTTGTTGTATCTCCTGCTTTAGCCTTATTTTCAAGCACTTGTTCATCTGCAACTACTTTATCCCATCCAACGTGTTCGATTATTGGCCTCACGCAGTCCGTCATTAAGTGTTCACCTTTTTGCAGGAATCTCAAAGGTGTCTCGCTCTTTCCATGAGCTGGAAAGTCTATCATTAAGACCTCAACTCGACGCTTTTTCAACGTCTTAAGGATCTGTTCTGCCGCTTTGAACCAGCACCCTCTCGACGATTGCCATAAACCATGCAATAGAACAATCCGTTGGACTTCGTCAGGCTCACTTACTTCTCCTCGGCGTGTCTCCTGGTCTCCACGACTTGGACTTTCTTCATTTGTTCTCGGAAGCATCACTCGTAGTTCGGAAGTGTCTTCACTGCCTTCATTTGCTCCACGAATGAACTCGGGCTTTTTCTCGTCTTCATCAGCACAGCCTTCAGCAACCTCCAGGTCCTTCTTCTCTTCACCGACGTCTTCCCCATCACCTTCAACGATAAGCTCTTTCTTTTCAATCTCTCCAGCACCACCAGACCACAAATAGTAAGCGATCCGACACTCGTGCCCCTCAAGGTTTGCTGTGAAGTACTCAGGCTCCCACGGCATGTGCAGCCCCAGCGACGTCTCCTCCGTATGCTTGTCTTCTACCACTCTCGCGGTAGAAGATGGAAAAGTGGAGAACGACATTGTGTTTCTTCCCACCGCCCCGCTTTTTTTCGATCGTCTTTCGCCGTACCCTCTGCGCCTACTTTTTATTGCTGGAAAGCTAAGGGGTACAGTTGTACTTTTCTACGTTTCTGCAAAATTCTAGCAAGATCCTGCAAAATTCTAGACCCTTGAACTGTTCCTATGCGTTTGTTTGTAACTCCTCCGTATGCTTGTCTTCTTGGGAAGAAACACAATGTCGTTCTCCACTGTTTCGGTAGAAGATGGAAAAGTGGAGAACGACATTGTGTTTCTTCCCACAAGAATAAACTACAACTCGGTACTAACTTAGATGCAGTTCATTTACGAAGCAGGGATTCTTTCTTGTCTTTACTTTTCTTTCTTGACATTAATTAGCACAAAACGAAAACAAACATAATTACAGACTTTCTTGTACAGTTCTGTAAGGTACTTCAACAAACTTTTCTGAGTCAAAACACACTCATATCAGGGGCACCAAAACGGTAAACAAAGCACTTCCGAGAGAACCAAAACTGAAATTTTATGAATGAAGCCGTAATTGTTTCACGGTTCTTGAAGAAGAAGGCTCTCCAGTGATACCTCTAGGTCTCAGATCTTGTCGTTTTCAGAAGATCTCTTTGGACTTCTCTCAAGCCCTTCTCCTGATCTTTGCTTCTTCTTTTTCTTTGATAGATAGTATCCATCTAGAACTCCTCTGATGATCCACTGCTCTGCTTTGGGATTGGGGATCGGGAGACTTCAGAGAAAGTCTCTGGCCACCACATGGGGCGCAGTACGTTTCACAAGCATCAGACAGGCAGAGCAGGAAAAGACATGCCACGACGTGACGAACTACTTAGCGACAAGCTACACTAAACAACGATAGGCCAGCTCAAACCTACCAAGTCCCACCAGTCTACAGAGCATCAGCTCGAAGTTTTCTCTTTTTTCGAAATGACTCCGCAGTGCGATTTCTGAGTCAGAGCTTCGAGGAACTTTCACAACGACAACTTCGAACGTCACCGTTAGAGAACACAACATGTGAAGATCTTCACGATTATCCCGTCAAGCTTCTCCAAGGTCGCCTCTTTCCTCATTGTAATTTCCCGAATGAATATGATTTCCCGCATTTATTGATGGTATACATGAACGAATGACGCCACTACATGAACTTTCCTCCCTGATCATGCTCCCCAAAAGTTTTTCTGGAAGAAAGTTGTCAATATACGAGTAAGTCACACTGTGAGTGTGTTCCGCTCTGGAAACAAACAAAGTGCTTCCCCCAGTCCTATAGTCGATGTAGTAGTTGCCCTACTTCATACATTACGATTACCTGCTACAATGTAACAAGTGCTTAGTTAACGTGGTCTCGAGAAGTAGTACTATCTTCTTCCTATCAAATGATATCAATAATTAATTCTTTCATAAGTTCGTCCACCTTTTATGCTCCCCTTATGACGAAAGTCAATAACAACTTCTTTTTGAATATCTATAAATTTGATGTCGTTGTATAAATGAATGAGTGGTTCGTAAAAAGTTGAGTAGTTAGTATCGTAAATTGGTATGTGGTTCTTACTCAATGGCATGATAGTGGTAAAAATAGGTAAAAAAGATGCTTGAATTAGAGGCATTTAAGAGCTGCTAACTCTTGTATGCTAAGGGATCGAATAAACTAGTAATTTCGAGCAGTAGGCTTGGTGTATTTGTTCTTTTTGTAATTGAGGCAGTTTACAAAGTGGGAATAGTGGTTCGTACTAGTAATAAATTGTCCCTTGTTCTACTTCTTCGTAGACTTGACATATGGAAGTTAGCGATAAGGATAATGTTCTTGTTCAAGTCGTTCTTCAACGTGCACCTCTAGTTCACTTCAAATATTCATAGTCGTGTTTAATGTCAGCACGTGGAGAGGTCTGTAAGAAAAAGCCCCTCTTCATCATTCTTCTAGCACTGCTAGAATCGTCATCATAAACTAGCCAGATTTACTAGATTACAACCTTCAGTGAAACAGCACTCCTCAGTTTTTACCACTGAAAAGAACCACTCAGCACAACGTCATCTTCATTTTTTTGTGTTGCTCTTGTAGTCATGTCGTTGAAGAAGTAGTGAAATTCGTTCTCTTGATATCAATTCTTATAGTTCGGGATTCATATTTCCGTATTTTAAGACGGTTTTCATGTAGTAACTAATATTCAGGACTTACCACGTGGTAGCAAGCAATGGCAGCAAAAAAAACAAAACTGCTGATCAAGGCTGCTTTGATTGAGTATCTCCGTTGAGATGATGGTGTTTGTCTTTGTCTTAGTCCTGTACTACTACGTGAACGTGAAGTGTCCACTTTCTACAACAACTTAGTTGTCGTAAAAAGTTTCTATTTCGTTTTTGGGTGCACCGTCTTCAGATGTCGCGGTGAAAACTTCCAAAACTACAACATGAATTTCGTATCAAAACTAACACAAAACCCGTAACTGCGAGTCTATTGTCCGCCACGCAGACGCAGCACCAAGTGCAACGTGCTCTCCTTTTGGATGTTGTAATCCGAGAGCGTGCGGCCGTCCTCGAGCTGCTTGCCAGCGAAGATCAAACGCTGCTGATCCGGCGGGATACCCTCCTTATCCTGGATCTTTGCCTTCACAGCGTCGATGGTGTCCGACGCCTCAACATCGAGGGTGATGGTCTTTCCGGTCAGCGTCTTGACGAAGATCTGCATACCACCACGCAGACGCAGCACTAAGTGCAAGGTGCTCTCCTTCTGGATGTTGTAGTCGGAGAGGGTGCGGCCATCCTCGAGCTGCTTACCAGCGAAGATCAATCGCTGCTGATCCGGCGGGATACCCTCCTTATCCTGGATCTTTGCCTTCACCGCATCGATGGTATCGGATGCCTCGACATCGAGGGTGATGGTCTTTCCGGTCAGCGTCTTGACGAAGATCTGCATACCACCACGCAGACGCAGCACCAAGTGCAAGGTGCTCTCCTTCTGGATGTTGTAGTCGGAGAGGGTGCGGCCATCCTCGAGCTGCTTACCAGCGAAGATCAATCGCTGCTGATCCGGCGGGATACCCTCCTTATCCTGGATCTTTGCCTTCACCGCATCGATGGTATCGGATGCCTCGACATCGAGGGTGATGGTCTTTCCGGTCAGCGTCTTGACGAAGATCTGCATACCACCACGCAGACGCAGCACCAAGTGCAAGGTGCTCTCCTTCTGGATGTTGTAGTCGGAGAGGGTGCGGCCATCCTCGAGCTGCTTACCAGCGAAGATCAATCGCTGCTGATCCGGCGGGATACCCTCCTTATCCTGGATCTTTGCCTTCACCGCATCGATGGTATCGGATGCCTCGACATCGAGGGTGATGGTCTTTCCGGTCAGCGTCTTGACGAAGATCTGCATACCACCACGCAGACGCAGCACCAAGTGCAAGGTGCTCTCCTTCTGGATGTTGTAGTCGGAGAGGGTGCGGCCATCCTCGAGCTGCTTACCAGCGAAGATCAATCGCTGCTGATCCGGCGGGATACCCTCCTTATCCTGGATCTTTGCCTTCACCGCATCGATGGTATCGGATGCCTCGACATCGAGGGTGATGGTCTTTCCGGTCAGCGTCTTGACGAAGATCTGCATACCACCACGCAGACGCAGCACCAAGTGCAAGGTGCTCTCCTTCTGGATGTTGTAGTCGGAGAGGGTGCGGCCATCCTCGAGCTGCTTACCAGCGAAGATCAATCGCTGCTGATCCGGCGGGATACCCTCCTTATCCTGGATCTTTGCCTTCACCGCATCGATGGTATCGGATGCCTCGACATCGAGGGTGATGGTCTTTCCGGTCAGCGTCTTGACGAAGATCTGCATACCACCACGCAGACGCAGCACCAAGTGCAAGGTGCTCTCCTTCTGGATGTTGTAGTCGGAGAGGGTGCGGCCATCCTCGAGCTGCTTACCAGCGAAGATCAATCGCTGCTGATCCGGCGGGATACCCTCCTTATCCTGGATCTTTGCCTTCACCGCATCGATGGTATCGGATGCCTCGACATCGAGGGTGATGGTCTTTCCGGTCAGCGTCTTGACGAAGATCTGCATACCACCACGCAGACGCAGCACCAAGTGCAAGGTGCTCTCCTTCTGGATGTTGTAGTCGGAGAGGGTGCGGCCATCCTCGAGCTGCTTACCAGCGAAGATCAATCGCTGCTGATCCGGCGGGATACCCTCCTTATCCTGGATCTTTGCCTTCACCGCATCGATGGTATCGGATGCCTCGACATCGAGGGTGATGGTCTTTCCGGTCAGCGTCTTGACGAAGATCTGCATACCACCACGCAGACGCAGCACCAAGTGCAAGGTGCTCTCCTTCTGGATGTTGTAGTCGGAGAGGGTGCGGCCATCCTCGAGCTGCTTACCAGCGAAGATCAATCGCTGCTGATCCGGCGGGATACCCTCCTTATCCTGGATCTTTGCCTTCACCGCATCGATGGTATCGGATGCCTCGACATCGAGGGTGATGGTCTTTCCGGTCAGCGTCTTGACGAAGATCTGCATACCACCACGCAGACGCAACACCAAGTGCAACGTGCTCTCCTTCTGGATGTTGTAGTCGGAGAGAGTGCGGCCGTCCTCGAGCTGCTTCCCGGCGAAGATCAATCGCTGCTGATCTGGCGGGATGCCCTCCTTATCCTGGATCTTTGCCTTCACTGCGTCGATGGTGTCGGAAGCCTCAACATCGAGGGTGATGGTCTTTCCGGTCAGAGTCTTGACGAAGATCTGCATTTTGTCGCTTTGTTTTTAGTAAACCAATACCCAAATTAGAATGAAAACGATGAGTTTCAAGATTGATATTTCCGTTTACAACACAAAAGTATTTGTTCTAGAACCGTGTCAAAACATCAATGCTCGTTGCTAGCTTTTGTTTTAGTCACAATCTTGTATACAACTCACGCTTTTTATCGCACAAACTGCTAATTATCTTGCCTCAGAAAAGTTCCAAAACTCGATAAAAACTGTGGGGTGTAATCGCTTTAAACTCGCTTTTCCTCTGTAACATGGGATGAGAAGATGGAATGATGTTTCAACAAGCATGGAGAAGATTGATTCTTTGATATAAAAACATGGAAAGATGGATCAATTGCAGCAATTAGAGAAGATCAAATGGTGGCATGAAGATCAACCAACTCACTCGGCGTGATGCTTGAAATTTTCAAGTGAACGTGTATCCTCTACGAAAAGAACTGGGTCAGCAGTGATGACGAACAATCATTAAAGAGCAACGCGACTCCAAGACTCATTCTCATTCACGTTCAGAAAATAAAGCTCGACAGAATCACATCTCAATCTCATCAGAATGAAAAAACGACGCTCGTGAATCGAAAAAGAAACGATAGGGAATACCTATAGGTGCAACTTCTAAAGGATCATCTCAAGAACCAAAGATTTCGATTTCGATAAATTTCATTTGCGATTCTCAAGTTTCAATCCAGTAGGCAAGAATGCCGACATTCATCTCATTCTCATTCTTGACTTGGTGCATTCTTACTCTTTTTTTCGTTCGGCGAACAACTAGAAGAAGTTTAGCCTTCATTTCTGTCGAAGAATCAGAAAGATGACTCCAGTGACATCAATTGAGCGCGCCGATAACAAGGGAGCAATTGTGTCGCGGTGCACCTCTGCCTCTGATATTGGTATCCTTCCTTTTTTTTCCATGCGGTTACCCAGAATTCACGGGTTAACGTTAAGTTTGGAGTTAAGATTTAGATAAATTAATATTTGAGCTCTTCGACCTTTTCTTCTGCTTTGCATTTCGCCTCATGCCTTCTCTTTTCATTGAAGAATACGAAAGATGACATGACTCCACTGTCCTTCCTATTTTTTCTACTCTCTATGGCATGTCTCAACTTGAAGTAGCTTTGTTGGTGGCACTTGTGTACTATGGCACAAGGCCAATGCGATGCATTGACTCGTCTTTGCCATTACGAGTCTCGACATCGTCAACGACCTGAACAATAAACGCACCAATCGAGATCGACGATGCCCGATCTTAATACATTCTAAATTAGTAATAGAATAAGTAGTAGCACATTCGCCAGCCTCCTGGCACCCGCCATAGTCCGAAACGCCAAAAGGAAACATCGTCCAAAACGCCAAAAACAAACATCGTCCAAAGGTTAGGTTCATCTCGATAATATACATAATCTTCTCATAAATTAAATCTCTAACAACCCAATACTTCATCCACTAAGTGCCCCAGGAAATTTTTCCACTTCTTTTGCGCGTCCAATATCATCGCGTTTCGCGCGTTCAATATCATCATCTGTAGGTGCGGCGCTACCTCATGCTGAACGGAAGTTTCTAAATCTTGCTGCACCTCAAATTCGTGACGTGCTGTAGTGGCATATCTCCCCGGCATTTGAGGATCCTCCTGACGCAAGACATGGACATGCACGCGAGCATTGTCACCGTTCGAGCTGTAAAAGACGTCCACGATGACATCGCTTACGCTAGCTGCAATGTGCTTCATTTTAGCCGGAGATAGTGATGGCTGCTCCTCAGAGCCGAACCCGAGAAATCCTTGCTTGCGACGCCCGCCGAACTCCCGCAAAAACGCTAACGCTGGAGGCCCCATAATATGTTCGACAGGATCAGCAGACGTATCATGAGCATCATCTCCGGCGCCGTTACTGCAGTGGACACTAAAAGCTTGCGGCTTCGGCTTCGGCGCAGGTGCATCAGATATAGGTATATATTCCCTGGCGGGAATTGGGTGGTCGCCTCCGACAAGAAAAACTACGTCGCTCCACTTCGGTTGCGAGCGCGAGTCCGGTCCGGTTTGCGATTGCAATGCCGGTACCAATATTTCGAGAATCTGCATAGACTTTTCTTCGTCCAAGGGTCCACGTGGTGGCGCAGAGCTTCCAGATCCTGCGCTTCCAGCTGTTCCTGCACTTGCAACGCCCTCAGGCTCAAGATTCATCCCGACATCCAAATACACAAATGTCTTGCTCGTGTTCCCACCCTTCTTGCTTTTAAGGATTTTCTTTATAGTCCCGGCTACAAACCCCTCCGTAGGCTCTTGGCCTGCCAAGGCGACGTAACTGGCTTCCCCTCCACTGATCATGTTGGCAAGCAAGAAGATCACGCAACCGCGACCAAGCGTACCAACGCCAGCTCGGTGAGGACCGACAAAGAGCTTCTCTTTTTGAAAAAGACGCGACGACATCATTTTGCCTCTTTTGTTTCTGTTCGTGTATCAATACCTATGATATTCGGGAGGTTAGGTTTGCTTCTTTCAGGAAAAAAAGTTGGTTTGCGAGGAGGTTATCCGTTACACAAGCACTCTGTTCTTGGAGTGAGTAGAAGAGATGCGTCTTCAAAGATTTATGGGATCTACCTGAGAAGCAATCACTGCGCACGAGCGGCGGCGCGGTAAATAAAGATTGGGATCACCATCAACCTATTTGATCTTGAAACTTTTTGAAAAAGAATTTCCGGATCATTCTTGACTACAGGATCTTGCCTGGGATCTTCCAGTTGGTGCTCCATTTGCTTTCTTAACAAGAGAGGTTAGTCCTTGTGTGGTAGTGGTCGGTCCTCTTCTCGAGAAACTAACAAAGTGAAAACAAAAGAGAGAAAGAGAAAGTTATAGAACCAACAAGGAAAAAGAAAAACGACAAGTGGTTGTAAGGCTACAGTTGTATTTTCTTGCTTTTTCTTGTTGTTTTCGATGTTCACGCTCAGGGAGCACCATCCAAAAACTTCATTTGATTTCGATTTTTACAAAAATATGGGTGGAGCCAAACTAACTAGGAAAAGTAAAAGGAAGGAAGGGAGGTAAAGGATATAGAGTAGCGCAGATATTATTGTAATGGCCACGCTATAAGTAGGATCCATCCATTCTAGGCGCCGCGTGTCGTCCAATATAATAATTGACGGATGAACACAGAGGAGAGATGATCGTGGTCTTGTTTATTGAGCGCATTCATTTCGTCTGGATCTGCATCATCATGTCTTGCTAGGTTACAAGTAGAAGAACTCTTCGTTCACCCCAACAAAAGTGACTTCTGAGGAAAATTTTGTCGCATGTTGTCTCAATTTTGAAAGACTGACTTCTATGCTTTGAGAACTTTAATGGTCCTGGGATGCAACACCAATATTTTCTCAACATGTATTTCACTGGAGGTAGTCGTAGTTCAGGGTATGTGTGGATCCCTGATGACAGTGTTATTAGTGCCCGTAGAGATTAGTTCTGATAGGGTCCACATTGCTGTTATTGTTCAACATCACTCTTATAGCCTATGTTGAGATTATTAATACCCGTGTACTGCTCCATAGGGGGACAATATGCGGGGAAAGGTGTAATAGTACTTCATCGTTATTCATACTGACAAGATGCATGACATCCAGCTAAGTATGACATCCAGAATATGATTATGACATCACATGTTTTCTACGTATAAGTTTCCAGATGAAACAAATTCCATTCAGCTGTTTCGTTGGTCCTTACCATTCATATTTCGTGGTCCTACACTGACCACGCTCTTGTTCCTATTTTCATACAGCATAGGCAAGAATCCAACCAATAAAAAAATCTGCATTATGGGACCACTAGAAAGTAGACACATAAATTATCGACGCTGAACCCTATGCTCCGTCTTTCAACACGACCCGCATGGAAATGGAGGTCAACCGGGCCTCAGGCAGCTCTACTACTGTAGCGGAGAGACGAAGCAGTTCCAACAGCAGAAGCCTCCTCACATCTGTTTTTTCTTATCGGCCGTTTTGGTGAGCTTGTCTTTGGCCTTCAAGCTCTTGGAGCTCACTTTCTTTTCATCCTTCGCCCCACTGCCACCACTGCCACCACCAAGTTTCTGGTTGTACTGATCGAGCTGATGTGTTCGAACGAGGGTTACTGTGCCGCTCAAGGCAAAAAGAATATTTTGTTGTATCATGATAAAAGGCAGTAGAACGTTCATCTGCGTAGTCCTTAAGAAAGTAGAACGTTCATCTCAAATGAATGACATGCTGTGAATTCTAGATAGTACCGCTTTGGTCCAATTATTCTGCATGTTGTTGATGATGAACGGACGCGCCAACATTTTGTTTTCCAGAGGGTCGTGCAGTCGCAAATGTATGCGTACCAATGGATTTTCGTAGAGGCTGTACAACCTAGAGTTTATGGTGAAATAGGAACAAGAGGCTGTACAACCTGAAGATGAAAAACGAAAGGTGGAGAGAAAAAGGTTGCCATAAAGGCTCTACAACCTAGATTTAGATAAAGTAGTTAGGGTTGGTTTGGGAAGTACTTAGGCTGTCCAACCTGGAAGTAGTTAGGGTGAAAAAGGGACAAAGGTTATGGTTGGAGGTACTTGGGAAGGTTGTTGTTTGGAAAGGTTGAGAGTTAAATCTAGGTAGAAGGATCATTTCGTTCGGATGAAAAGGCGACGTGAAGGGCTAGATCTCTAGAGGTTATAGTTATAAATAGTACTGCACTAGACAGGCAATGATGATATTAGTATCGTGAAGAACATAGAAGTAATGTAGTACTGCATGCAGGGAAGGATGACTAGTTGCGTCGTTGTTTGCCAATGAAAGTGGACAAGGCAGGAAATGACCATGGCTATAGTCGACTGCTTCATCATACTCCACTGTTCATCCAAGTCATACTCGCCGATCGTTACGGCTGTGGTTTCGTGGTGGTGGTTGTTGTAGGTGCTTTTTGATGATACGAATCTACTCGGCAATCTGCCTAAGATTTCCCTGACGAATTCTAAAATCACGGTATAATCAGCTTTGTAAACTCACCAAATTCTAAAAAAAAGAGAGTACTTTCCGTAAAATTGTCGAGGTCCCTCATTAGGAAAATAAACCAAAGAGTCCAAAGAGTAATTATCAATACTCTCTTTTATATTCTCCATGCCTCCATCACCAGTCCACTCTTGTTTTTCCCTCGTTACCGTGGCTTCCATCTCCCCTGCATCTACGCTTCCACGAATCGTACTCCTCAACTTGACACTCACTACGGCGAATGTTATCATGTAGCCGAGGATTAGCGTGGGAAAGAGGTGGGGAAAAGGATCATGAGAAGAGGAAGGATGGACATAAGCAATCGAAACAACAGCTGACCATTCTTCAACGCAGTGTATGAGAAAGTGTCTGAAAATCAATCAAAAGCAAGAATGCGCCTCCTCAACAATCCGCAATAGAAACGTAAATAATACATCCTTCTTCATAACAAAAATATGAGCCTTGCGAGTGTGGTCGCCCACTCTGTTGGTAGCGCGCTTGAGATGAGATTCCAGAGGAAGACTACGCCCATTGGCACACAAAATCGCGCAAAACGAGTCTCGCAAAAAGCCCAGAACAAGTTTACGAATATCCTTGAATTAGACCTCTGCTCAGGACTAATGCAACATCCCTGTGGAGTAGACCGCTCAACTGAGTAGACCGCTCAAGAATCTTCCCCCTGTATTAGGGCACACACGGTTGAGGGATCCCGCCTATTGAGATAGATTATACGGGGAGCCATAATTGAATACCGTATGTCGTCCCACAGGGAGGTCACCCTCTGCTCCACAAGCACGTCTTTCATTAACGAATGCCGCCTATTCTTCTGCAGAAAAATTTTCGTCTCTTCGAGGATTAGAACAAAGGGGGAGAGAGGATCGTGGAGGACAAGAGGACTTTCATAAAAAGAGAGAGGATTTCTTAAAAAGAAAGAACATGAAGAAAAGATAACAAGTATTCGAAATTTCCTTCCGCGTGAAACTGAACAACTTCCTAGCTACTTAATCTTAACATGTACATGTACAATCAACTAATACTAAAAAACCGCAACTCGTACATTGCCACCTCCCAACAGTAGGTACTCAATCATCATATGTAGACCTGAAAAAGCCACATCCAGCAGTGTTCATAATATGAAGGACTCGTACATGGCCCCCATCACTTTGAGGAGGCCCTCCGCTAATTGTTTTCCTGCTTCGAATACCTGCTTTGCACTTATTTCATTAGAGCTCACCCAAATCCACCTTTCGGCTCTTCATCTTGGAGCGCTTCATCTTAGAGCTTTTCATCTTGTTGTTTTGGAACAGCTTCAAGAAGCCTCTGGAGATGCAGATGGATTAGGGCAAGCCGTAACTTCAGGTTGCGCTGACTGAGCGCTACCTCCAGATGCTGATGTAGCATTCGAAGTGCTACTTGTCGAAGATGTTTTCTTCAGGTTCGGACTCGTCGTTTTCGTGCTCTTGTTCGAGTTCGAAGAAGTAGAGTCTGTAGTCTCAGCACCACTAGAAGTAGTTGAGCCTTTCTCTGCTCCTCCTGCACTTGTTGTTGTTGTTGTTGTTGTTGTTGTTGTTGTACCCTCAACAGCGCCAGCTGCTCCGGGAATTGTACTAGTACTAGAGCAGGTATTCGTTGCCTTTCCTGGTGTAGGAATTGCGCCTACAAGAGCATCAGTCGGTGCTCCTCCGGAACCGGATTTGTTCTTTTTTCCTGCTCCATTCGATTTGCTGTTGTTATTTGATGAGTTAGCAGTTGAAGCTGCTGGTGGATTTTCCGCGCCTTCTGGTTGAGCGTTCGTCTTCTTTGGAGCCTCGTTTGCTGGAGGCGCGCCACCAGTAGTGGGCTTTTTGCCAGCTGCGTTCTTCTCGCTCACTTTATTCTTCCCTGTCTTTCCACTCGGCATTTTTTCCAAGTATGAAAAAACTGTGATTTCTGAAGCCTACAAACCAAGAAGACAAGAGATTTTTCGAAGACACGACTAAGGTGCCGAGCTGTATGCCTATTTAAGGATTACAGAAGCTGCTCGAAGATGAGATGTTAATTGTGAATCAACACAAAACACTGCAGAGAAACAGGCAGGATCGTCGCAACTCAAGATCACCGCATGTATGATTTCAGCAGGTAGATCATGTTCTTGCTGCAATTCTCTATTCGCTTTCGCGGTGGATAGGGACCCAATCTCGAACACGTTCCTGCCAAAGGAAGCGGAAGGAAAGTAAGAGAACATCCAGGTCCTCTGGAAGAGTCCCATTATGTGTGTTTCTCAGGACCCCCATCGAATATGAGTTTGATTTCATTGACCAAAATTCAATTTGCACAATGTCGAATGTACATGTTTACTCTTTGGTTGATGACTTGTATGCAGCCGTAGGAGGTACGTACAACTACAAGCTTAGACTTTAGACCTTAGAACCTTTCTAAAAATTTGAAGGAAGTCATTACAGCAAATGCACCTGCACGAATGCGCGCTTCAATAATATGAAGCTCTCCTGTAGGAGTTTCCACCTCCTCATGCTTTGAAATGACATACACATATGCATTGAAATGCTAGTATTTAAATCCTTGCGGCAGAAATAAAAATCTCAATGACCTCCATTCACTTCCCAGACCCTTCACTTCGACTTACAGTACAATCCACTACACAAACACCTCCCCAACATGGTCAGGACCTAGGAAACAAAAAAAATGCATAATAATAATAATTCAGGACCTTCAACTACTACCCACCAATAATGCTAACAAAACAGGTGGGACTACGGTTAGAAGGAAGTTTGCATCCAGGAAAGGGAGATGTTCTTTGAACCATTGGCGAGGTTTCCTGACGACCGCATCCCGCAAAAGTTCCAGTCGGTCACTCACGCGTTCCACGCGTCCTCCGGAGGAGGGTGCTTTAGAAGTAGAATTATGGTCCAACCATCCAAGTAGATAACTGCAGCGACTAGGAGAAATAAGTAAAATGGTCCAACCATCCATGGTGAGGAATGTATGGCTGGTATTTGGTAACCTGAATTTGATCCTAAGGGTTCTCTTCTTGTTTTTTCCTTATGATCAAATTCAGGTTACCAAATACCGGAACCATTCAAGGAAATGATTACTGTTCGGGGTGCTTCTTCGATATAACAGGTGTTTGATCTTGTAACAACCTGAGTGGATCTTGTACTACTTCTTAACTCCAGCGACTAGGAGAAGTTACTCCTTAGACAACAAGCATTCAAACAACAAGAGCTCAGCTCAGGTGATTATCATATTATCATATCGGTGGAGCTCGTCTAACTAGGAATCAAGATTACATAAAAAAAAACAATAAGTTCATTCATTCATTTACCTAGCACGAGGTATTTGCTAAAGACTTAATTAGGATGCATAGGAAAGATAGCTGGAAAAAAAAAGGAGACAAAAAAAATCTTCATAAAGTTCTTCTTCTTTCCACTCTTGCTTGTTCCGTCGTTCTTCAACCACGCATAGTGCTTGGCCAATGGGCCCATATTCGAAGCGCCGACTGCAGGCATCCATTCTCCAGCTTTCTCTCGTGCCCACCAGTGTTCCTGCTTGGCAGGCGTCAACCGGCTCATCTCCCTAGTAGTCCTTGGATGCCACGGTGGACCAGGATAGCGGGTGAAATCGTAGAGATATCGCGAGACGCGAATCTGCTTGAACGTCGAATCATCTTCCAAGTCGGATATTAGAAATTCTAATCACAACCATTATCAACGTTGTAGTAGTCGTCCTGCTACCTTCGAACACTTGCAAAAACCATATTTGAGTATCCTCCTCATTCAAGATGCCCACATAGAACAAGTACAACAATACTTCAATATTTCAATGCTTCCATATTTCAATGCTTCAATGCTTCAAGTTCATCAAGCACCACGATCGTCAACAACCCTTCTTAAGGGTACCATGCATGGACAAAAACGAGAAAAATTAACCGGTTGCTTAGTTGAATGGGAGGTAGCATGTAGTTCTATGGAAAAAACCCTTCTTAAGGGTACCACCATGCATGGACAAAAACGAGAAAAATTAACCCTTTCCCATAACTGTACGTACCCCATGACTGGGTAGATGTAGTTCTTATGTTGAATGGGAGGTAGCATGTAGTTCTATGGAAAAAAAAAAATCTTAAGAGTAGTTCCTTCACTGCACCATCCCCGAACCCACGTGTCAAAATGTAGGTTAGGCGCACGATCCATTCCTGACCTTGATACTGCGGAGATAAGGCGCCGAACCATAGCTGCCAGTCTACACGAGGCTGATATGGTGCGACTCTTGCTGGCCGCTTCTTCACTGGCCCTGGTGCATAAGGAAACTCGATCTCCTTCCATGTCCCGCTGCTGCTCCCTTCGCTGAGGGGAGTGAAACCTGTTGTGGAATGTGGTGATGCGTTTGGAGGTTCATTTTGAACGAAACAAAAACATGTTGTAATTTCAATTTTTTGAGTTTGATCATTAAGGAACAACCATTAGTTTGTTGTGTATCCTAGCAAGAGATGTTGTGTATGCTAGGCGTGATCTATACACGCGGTTCTGACATTCACTGAAAGTGCTGTCAACATCTTAGCCTAAAAAAATCCCATCAAGTATAAGCAGTACCTTCGAAAATCAGTGCTGGCACGCTCGGCGTCGGTGTGTGGTCTAGTCCCGCAAAGCCCTTGCTCATATCTTTTGGACCTACACCTGTCATTCGCCGAAAAAGCCCGTAACTATTCGATACGTGCCAACTTGGAGGTATACGTTGGTACACGTGCTGCATGATTTCTCTCTGCAACAGAAAGTTGGTCGGTCCCATCGCCCCCCATGGCAAAAAGCCTAAGCCCAGAACCACGAAGAGGACTGCGCACCGTACGAGCGCCAGAGGGAAATAGACGAAGATGCGGCAGAGAGGAGAATGAAAGGGGAGGCTGAAAGAGGACCGTAGAAAAAGTTGTGTTTGAATTTCGATGTTCTGTGTTCTTGATGGATTCTACGGTTACTGTCTACACCAATGCCACTTTTCTGTAGCACTAAGCTACAGCGTCAACAATTACTTCGTCCTTATCTAGTAATCCCAAGTAGTTACAGCATTCATATGAGTTTGAGTCCGTAGTTAATCTTAGTACAATCAGTCACGATCTTAATGGCAATGAGTGTGAATCACTCTAAAGTCTTACTGTTCGCGTACTTTCGGGGACTCTACTTCTTTTCAATGATCTGATTAGTATAAATCAGTCTAGACTCTTAAATTTGTAGACTAGACGAGGACGTAGGCGAGAGAGTCGGGAAAAAGACGTTCCTTTTCCTTGTCCCAGCTGAAACGCACTCGTCGCCGTAAATGTTCGACTTCGAAAAAGTTCGCATCCTACCTCCTTTAGCCGGTGTCGACACCCTATTGGATTGAGCACGCTGCATCTGTCGAGAGCGGAGCTCATTCGGTCCCGATGAAGATAGTCCACTTGCATTTGATGCTGACCTAGATGAAGGCATTCCATGATCCATACCCACCCCCGCGTCATCAGCCCTCTCACCTCCCTGATGGTCCTCGATTGCCCGTACTTTGTTACTATCCGTTCCAGACTTTGAGCCACCGCCTATGCCACATCCTGTTAGTTCGCCAAAACAGTACGCTAGACAAGACAAGAGGAAAAGCCCTTGGACGATGCAGAGGCCAGGCAGTTAGAGAGAAGCAGAGGGAATGGAGTCGTGAACAATAACATTGATACATAGAACGCGGCAATTCTATTTAAGGATATTAAGAGTGAATTGCCGCAGACGCAGCTACTATAAGAATGAAAATCTAACGGGCACTACTGCTGAACTAGGTACTTTCAGGTGGTACTTACATCTGCATCATAATACAGCGTGTACCAATGCATGTACTCGCGCACTTGGCTCTCTGCTATGTTGCTGCGCACTGCTAGGTGGTCCCCATGAAACAAACTCCAAACGAAACCACGGGCCCCCACACTTTCTGTAACAAAATCCGACAACCGCACTAGAATCGTGTCCATCGGACTTGTGTTATCCGTGAGATTAGACGAGTGTGTTTTCCGTACATCTACAGCTGCTTTGATCTATCAAGGAAGAGATAGTACCGTGTGCTGCAGTCCTCGGTCTGTAAATTTCATGATAACACAGAATTATGAGTTGCATATAAAAAAAACCTTATAAAAATTGTTGCCTTAACAATAGGTGCCACGAGTTTTGATACGCTGGTGACGATGTGCTTCTGCGTCTTTGGCGTGACAAAATCGTCGAACTTCGAAGACCGTACTTCGATCTCGTTATCGAAGAAAAACAGCAAAGCGGTGCAAAGGACGAAAAGCGACATTGTCAGCCCTAGAAAAACTGCGTCTCTCACAAGTTTTCTAGGACTTAGGAGGTCGCGAAGCAAACTGGAGGCTCCTCGTTTTGATGCCGCACCCGCACTCATCATGGCAGAAGATGAGCCAGTGCCAGAAGATGTGCTTCTAATCGCTGCTGCCGCTTGCTTATATGCTGGGCCACTGTTCTTGGTCGCAGAGGAAGTCCCTCCAGACGTGGAAGATAGAAATCCAAAAGTACTACTGCTCTCTCCGTCAGAACTACTCGAATCTCCACTATGGGACCCCAGACATGGCCAGAGCAAGATCGCGGACAGAACGTTGAACCAGTTGTAATTCCCAGTTGCAAATATCAGCACCTGGAGCATCAAATGCAGTGCGGCTGCGTATTTTCGAAGGTATGGGATGAAAATCAGCAGGATCCCGGGGGCTAGCTGCGCGCAGAACATCACCGCTACGCCGATGCGATTTACGAGCGGATGGAGAGTTAGAACAGGTGAAAAGTGTTGAGTTTTGAGAACAAACGCGAGCTTTCGTTCTTCTTTATCTTTTGTTTCGTGAAGGATTAGCGGGAGCCCACGCACTCAGAAAGATTTACTCTGCAAAAAGAAACCAAAATGATCTCTCTCTCACCGCGTGTGCAATATTAACCATAACAATTGATGGAAGAACCACGCCAGCTCTGTCGGGATGCACTGCGATGAATAGTGGTACTCCAGCGCCGTTAGGTTGCCCCAAGTAGGACAGCCAGACGTCTGTTTCACGATGCCCGTCATGAACATGAGCTTCACGAAAAGCGCCCGAAACAGCCAGTCGACACAGGCATGATACTCTTTGTTGCTGGAAAAGAGATAAAAAGTTGCGAGAAAGCCGACTTCGAGGAGCAAAATGTCCCATTGGAACCCCATGAAGAATTGACCTGCGAATATGTGAGGCTATAGAAGTTTGTGTTGTGACGATTGACATGAGAAGAGTGAATTTGTGTTGTGGCATTGTGAATTTGTGTTGTGGATACTGATGCACAAATGAATTCTACTTGAGGTTCGTTCCCTGAGGATGGATATTTCTAACGTCCATTTTTTTCAGAAGCACGAAGGCAGCGAAATGTAATTACCAACACTAAACGCCGCCAAATAGCACTGCCAGCATCCTATTACGCAGACTGTGCGCAACACACGCCATTTCGGATACAGCCAGAGAAGCAGGGACAAAAACATCCCCACAAAACCTACTAATTCCGCTGCGTCGACTACTGTGATCTTTCCTAGTCCACCGAAGAGTTCTAGCCCATCCTGTGATAAAAATTGTTTTTCGAGGGCCTTGGATGAATATGCTGTTGTAGTTTTCACCACACCAGTGGTCTTTCGTCCTCCTCCGACTCCGACCTTCTCCACCACCGTCCTTCCCACGTCGGCCACCACATTGGTCGTCGTGGTTGCAGCTGGCAACCAGGACACTGGGAAAAAAGCGAACTTCAGTGGGTTCTGACGTGCGGCAGGTGACATATCGTCTATGTATTCGCGTACTGGGGTGATCCCGTCATCGCCATAGAGTCCGGGAAACTGAGCGTAGAAACTCCAGAAGGCCCAAAAGTAGACCATGCCCAGGTAGGCGAAAAAGCGGTCCAAGTTGGACACATTTTGGCCGTACCCGAACAGCCAACGAGGTATGAAGCGTTGCGTGAGTGCGAACATGTTGATTCTTTTGTGAAGCACAGTCAATACTACACAGCTTTTCTTGATTACATAGCAAATGGCAACCAATTTTTGCTCTAGCGACGTCGTTGGCCCGCTGCCTTGGATGGCCGAACTAGACGAGCATAGTGTAGTAGATGTCATGTTTTCAGAAAAAATTATTCATGGGAAGAGCAATATGAAGGACAGTAAGACAACATTGTCCAAGGTAAGCTTGAAATCCCCGACAATGTTCAGAACCGCTGTCTCTCGAAGTCATAGTTTCGGACTTTGAAAAAGTTGTCCTTGTTCCTGTTCCTCATCCTCCTGGCAATATTTTTATGATGTGATTCAACATTGTAGTTGGCTTCTTTCTCAAACTCTCATTCACGCTGAGAGATTTGGATTTGGAGCTTTCAGAAAAAGTTTCTGACCGGTTGATCACTCCGCATCGAAAGTCCTCCACTACATCGTGCACGAACGCATGAGAAACAGTTTCGAGGCCTGCTTCCGAAGAGCCCTCCTCCATCACCTCAACCTAGGAGACTTGCATTTTATGTCCGACAGCGTGTTTTCTTTGCATTTTATGTTGACACAGGAAAGGTGCATACAGCAAAGGTGCATGCAGCATGCGATTCATTCTCTTGTTGAAATTAGAGGTTCATTGAATTTGGAGGTTCATTGAATTTGGAGGTTCATTGAATTTGGAGGTTCATTGAATTTGGAGGAAATGAGGGTAGGTCGCAAGCAGGTGGATAAGCACCGGCGTGAGCAGGATATGCGCTGGTAATAACAGGTATGAGATGAGTACTACTATGCATTCTAGCGAGGTGGAAAAAGATAAGTATCAGAAGTTTGTTAGAATTTTAACAAGAACCTCAGAGTTTAAACATTTAGCAACAGAAGCGTTTCATTTGTAGCTATAGATATCACGGGGATTGGATAGCGCTGAGGACAATTCATTAACGGGGCCTTGATGAAAGTTGTTGAGTAAGATGTCTTGGTATCTGATGCGATCTAGGATTAGCGATATGACACATCATGGATATCTGTCTCGAGAGAAGCAACACGAGAGTGTTGTGTTGTGCAAGACGAGAGCTATGACATGGCTTTGCCTGTGCATTTGCGAGTTGGTTTATTGGCATCCAAAATATTGCTTAGTGTTCTCGGCTTAAAAGTAGTCACCTCTGTACAAGCAACATCTGCTACTGCTGCGCGTGCGTGGATAGAGCACAAGAATCATCGTGGTGTATAGCTAAAACCTGTAGCCAGAATACCTAGGTTAGCAGCACACAATCAAGCCCGACATACATAATTTTCATTTGAAGCTCCCGACAGGTAACCTTGTCCACGCATCATGTGGTGTGGAATTATCAAAATCCTTTGTGTGAAGTAAACTTAGACAAATGAGTAGTTGGAATATCAACGATGTTGAAAGAAAATAAATTAGACATTGATGACAAGACAAGTGTTATACATCTAACTGATAACAAGTAGCAACACAAACAGGAGGAGACCCACACCTCCTAGATCCCGGAGTTGTATGTACAAAATAGGAGAGTCGCCATCATATCAAGACACCTCTCAGAGCTGTAGGCTAGCAGCAGAGTAACGCCTCTCACGGGGCTGGTCTCAAATTTCCATTCCCCATAATCCAGGTTAGTCGGACATCCATCTGCTCCTTGTGATCCAAGCCCATCGGTACAATCTGGAAGCGTAAACCACCTTCCTTCATGCACTTGCTGGAGACCTGGTGTAGTAGTGGAGGTATGTTGTGGGAGTGCGACATGTATTAACTTATCGTTTGAAGGAATAAGCCTAGGGATAGAGGTGAAAACTAAACGGCTCGTCTACTTTAGTGCTTGATTAACTTAGACTAACTTTCTAGTGATGATATCCTTCATGCTGTAAAAAAGATCAATATTTTCTGAAGATGTTATAGTGTCGGAAAAATTTTTAGAAAAAAACACAACCTGCATCTCTTCCTTCTCTACGATGAAGTAAATTTCTGTACTACAACTACACCGAGCAAGTAAAAGCTTTTCGCTCCTCTTCAATCATGAGGTAAAGGTGTTCGCTTGCTATTCTCATTATAGTATACCTGTATTTCATCCATCGTTAGCGAAATGCTGTTTGCCATCACTTGGAACTTGCACCCGACAATGCCGTTGACCAGTTTCATATCGACGCACAGATCCAAGTCGAAATCTACTTTTGTCCCGCTACCCGTCAAAAAAACTGGTTTCTCTGGCTTCGCACTCACGCTCGTCATACACCGCAACTCGTAAATGCCTAAGAAGTCGCTGGCCTGCACTTGGTATCCGCAAAAGCAGGCATCGTTGTAGTTAGAGCGTGCCTGTTGGATCCGTCTAGAAGACCCTTTCATCTTGGTACCCCCCCCCGCCGCCTTCCGAGGGAAATAAAGGGTACCTACTGGGAAGTACCAAGACCCTGGAAGAGATGAATGAACTAAATGCTGATGACCATAATGTAAACCAAGCCAACGAAGCACGTATGCGCGGGAATCCACAAATTCGCTAGCTTTTGGGACATCGCAACTCGGATACGGTACTGACCAGGATCCCGGATAGATACTATCTGCGTCATGGTTTCGCCTGCTTGCACCGTGAAACCCAGTCCCCGGCCTCCTGCTACGAATTTGCCACTATCGCTGTCCTTGCGGATCACCATGAAGGCGTCTGTTGAGAGTGAAGAATCAAATGTAGTGGGGTGAATTATTTAGCGTCTGCTATCATTAAACCAGAATGCCTCTTCTACGAAAACGAAATCCACTCAGCCTAAAGGAAAATGAAACACTCCCACACTAACTTCAGACGTAAACCACCGGAAGAGTTCAAAGCTGGCACTAATGTCAACAGGGTCCTAAAACTAGAAAGCATAGCTTTCTAGTGGGCCCTGTTTGAAGTTCAACACCTATCAGATAGTAGACCGAATGGTTCTGATTTCCTTGTTCTTTTTCGGAATCGTCCGTACCAAATTTCCCCCGTGCAAACCGACAATCACTTATACTCCATGAGATTACTCAGTAGAAGGAACACCAACAGAGAGAAAAGTATGCTTTCTAGTGGACCCTGTTTGAAGTTCAACAATGCTCTTGTCAATGAATCATGCGACTCCGTGAACGGAGATCTGTGACTATCGTCACCTATCAAGTTACTGGAAAGCAATCTGAGAACGAACGTGATTCTAAAGAACTACCAAGATCCTCATCGTCCATTTTTGTTTAAATCTGGTAACTACTCTTCGCCAGCCCAGTGGAAGAGGGTAAGCTCTCCTACTCTTTACTCATGCGTCTCTTTAGACACTCTTACTGCTACTCTTTACTCCTACTCTAGTCACTCTTACTTACACTTTTGACAAAGTACTACCAAGGTCCTCATCGTCCACTTCTACATCGACTGCCTGGTTCGTCTGCTCCACACTGGCTAGTGCTGCTGCTAGGTCGTCTGCTGCGTCGGCGCCACCTGCTATGGAGGCCTCAGGACTAGCTGCTGTTCCAGGACTAGCAGCCGAGGGACTAGCGGCTGATGGACTGCCACCTTCTTCTGCTTTAGCTGCAGCTATTGCGGCTTCTCCTAATGGGGGAGTGGAGCGATGAAATCTTCTCAAAGTAGTTATCGCTATCGAGAGAGGAGAAGTCTCAAACTCGAGTCCACTTTTCTTTGCCTGTAGGTTATCTCCTATAATGGGATGTGAACAGAAGAACTTCATGATCAATCATCTTCTTTACTAGAATAAAGTACTCACAGTCACAACCACAAAACGTCAAAAATATGAAATACTCCTCTTCCTCTTCTCCTTCTCAAACCTTCCACGTAATGGCTTCTGATTTCTTCTGGGTAAAACCTGGAAGAGTTTCGCAATTTGTCCGGCTTTTATTGCGTCTTCGCGATTGACGTTTTCCTCCTTTTTCTTCTTCTTTTTCTCCCCCTCCTCGTCCTTCTTGCCCGTCTGCGTCTCAAGTAAACCCAAGTTCGACAAAAAGAAAACCAGGGCGATGATTAGAGCAGAAGTGACGTGAACTAAGATACAGGTTGGTAGGATAGGAGAAACGAGAATAGGATACATATGATACGAGAGGATGGGGATCGGATAGCAGACATAAAAAGACTACTAGATTCCTACTCCTTTTTACAACGCCTATTATTTACTGCAAGATTGACGAAAATCAACAAGCATCGGCCTCACCCTAACTCAATATTATCAGCAGACTGCCTATAACAACAGCAGATGTCGTAGACCTCCTCAGCTTCTTTATCACGATTCGCGTTCCATCGTTCTATCAACACTAAAATTTCCGCTTCGGATGTGATGGCCTATTTGTCAAGAGATTTGGTGAGTATTTTCATGAAGAAGGATTGACTCGATAGTCTATATGTTGGCATTGAGAGATTTATCTGGAGAAAGCAGAAAATTCAAGAGATGCCAACATGCCTTGGACACGTAGAACATCAACATCAAGCCTCAATATATCATAGCATTAGACAGGTGACAACATCAACTAGAACTAATGGAGATCCATCTTCAGCAGCATCTTGGGTCTCCTTTTCCCTTTAAAAACGGGACCAAGATGACAGTGAAGATGGATTTCTTGTACCCTTAAATCAAGTCTACTTCTAGCAATGCCAAGTCATCAATAGACATGTGACAACATCAAATCACAATTACTAGCAACACCAAGTCATCATGATCCAGGAGCAACTGCAAAAAGCCCATTGGCAAGCCTGTCCACCTCTCGTCCCAAGATAGAAGCTGAAAATTCGTTCTCACGCATCCCATACCCACTAGCGTCGTTTTCATCAGATTCCGGAATAACGGTTCCTAGAAAACTTTTACAATATTGGAAGAACGCATAGCATATAAGCCGAAACCCGCGATAGAGTATCGTAAGGGTTAATTGAGTATCGGAACATGGAAAAAATAAGGGGGCTTAGGATTCCGATAGAGTATCGTAAGATGGTAATACTGGGTTTAGGATTCCAATAGAGTATCGTGATATGGTAGGAAAAAGAAGACTGCTCGTTTCTGAGCATTCATCAGATGGATCACGGACAGAGCTGCGAGAGAGTGGAATTATGAAGATTGAACAAACGCTGCCGGTTATACAATACACTACAATACAATAAGTCTCGCACAGTTTTCAGTGCAGACTGCCGCGCGGCGTCATAGTGATGCAAGTTTCTATAAACTTAATTACCTCCACCGAATACTGCCAGTAGTATTGAATTTTGTAATAGGCGTCGCAGAATGCCCCGTCTCCGCATGTTGTGCGACAATGCGTAGGGAACCAGCGCATTAGTCGCGCAAAAAGTTGATCCACTGCAAAACGATTTGCTAGGAAAAGCATGTCCACCATCTGCCCTAGTAACTTCTTCTTCCCCTCGTCCGTGTCTGGCTTCATGGACATGAACTCGATCTGGTCGAGGTACCTATGTCATTTTTGTATGACGATCGATGTGGTAGATCATCATACTACATCCCAAACGACTATACGAAGCCATCGGCGGGATGATACATTTCCTGCGGTTCTTGAGTCTTTGACTTTGCAACGAACAAGAGCGATGTCCAGGTCTAAAATCGTCTTTCTTTAAATCAGAACACGCTAAAACACTCTAGTATCTACAGAGTACAACTACTAAATAGTACACGAATCGCAACAATTCGACTGTCCTTTCGATGTCTTCACTTATCTCATATCGTTCTGCCAGTCGTAAGTTGTCCTTTCTCTGAAAACCGCCTCTTGTGCCACTCAAGGGATCGCAGGTCGTCCAGCCACCTCGTTCCACTACGTCTGTTCCCCTTGTATACCTATCTTCCGCAAAACTCGCAAATTGGATTTGCTCTGTTGTTTTCTTGAATTGCTGAGGTACTCAACAATGTATACCAGGTTACAACGAAAAATAGCAGCGTGTTTCTAATCACACAGAATCTTTAAACAATACCTTAAAGTGGTACAATTATTAGAAACCAAATTTATTGTATGTTGGAGTAAGTACCTGCTATCCTCCTTAGGCCTTTTTTTCTGAGCCATATTAAGGTATTTCTTGGTGCTTTCTCGATATGCAAAGGCAGTGGCTTCAACTTCGACCGTAGTTGTGATAGAAATCCAGGGATTCTCGCCAACGCTGGTGTGTGACACCGCAACAATGGCCCATCGTCTTAGAGGTGTGGTCTCTGATGAAATCACTTCCCACGTCGTAGGTCCCACATTTATCAGAGGTTAAATCCCTTTATCAAATTCTACTTGAGAGACAGGAGTCTGACCGTAATAAAGAGGAACCAATCGCGGACCTTAATAAAGCAGAACCAGTAATCATGTTGTAGGCCTTCAGAGAAGTACAAAAAGAAACCTATTATCTATCAAGTAGAACGAGACAGGAACGCCTTACCTAATGCGTAGAAAAGGAGCAAAGCTCAAAAAATATATGCACGAGCATATCTTTAAGTTCTATCGGCCTTGAGCGCTAGCCTAAACCTGCTAAAGCAGACCTATAAGCGGGTAAACCTTAGATAGTCAAAAAAGTTCCACATGAGACGAAACAGCCCCGAATACAGGACAGCGCTGCAGCATGTGTCTGGACGAAATTTTCAGTTTGTGTGTGTGTGGAGTTGTCCTATAATTAATGAAGAAGAACCAAATATTAATCGCGTGATGAAAATCAATGTAAATGAATCATCTATTTTGAGAGCCTTAATCTTTCACCTGCAAGCCCAAATCTCCACTACTTGTTTCCACAAAGATCTCCCCGAATAGCAACTCGAAACCGGTATTGGCTTTGCTTCCTCCAACCTGCGCCACACCCGGATCCCTGTTCTCCTTATTCGCCACGCCATTGCCACCACCAGCGTCTTGCTTCCCCATCTTGCGACTCTTGGTCTTGCTGCCAGAGGTTCAAGAGAAGTATCTTCTAGTCTAATTAAGGTATTAAAATTTCTTCAGATGTTCTTCTAGTCGTACAACTGGATGCGAAGCCTCTTCACTTTTCTTGCGTTCTAGAGAGTGTTGTTGTAGAAGTCGCTTCTGGAGTCCCTCGTTCTGTCTCCGTACAGATTATCTGTTCTTGAAATTGAGCACGAGCACCACAGTAAGTGCTGAAGAACGCGACGCCCTCGTTTACATTCGGCACCCGCTCGTCCAAGAAAGACCACTCTAACTTTCTGCTTTGGTACTTGGTTGTACTGATGAGGAAACGGAGAGCTCGAGTGTTCCTCACACTGACGCCGGCAAGCGGTCAGCTTACACTCCCTGCTGCACTGATTGTGTCCTTACAATCATTTTGCCAAGGATTGTAGTGTGCAGGCTACGTACTGCTCTACCCAACGATCGGTCCAATCTCCAGCCTCAACGACGCGGACGGCGTCGAGATTTTACGTCACACGAGCGGCATATCACGAGGCCACAAAAGTGGTCATTCGGATTGTGTCACGGTCAGGACATGCTATTTGTTTTCTCTGTTTGATGATTTGAATCTATTCGGCGAGCTGCCTAAGATTTCCCAGACGAGATCTACCCGCCAGTCTAGCTAGTTGTTGGATTGTTAGTGTTCGGCCAACTGTTCCTGTTGTTCCTGTTGTTGAACGCTGAAGCTCTGGCTTCTGTCTTGCTACTTGTGCCCAGAGGCTTCTGTTCTCCGCGCTGCTTAGCTGCACCCCTCTCGCCCTAAGGTCTGCCTCCAGTTGTTTTCTCTGTTTATTCACTATCTTTTATCCTACCTGCCTTTGGCGGCATTCACTGCACAGGCCGAGTCTATTTTTTGATATCAAAGCCATCCCGAATGTGTTTTGCACTTCCTCTTCTTTGTTTTTCATCGGGTGAGTAGGTCCTTTCTTTTGGTAAAAATGACACACATATATCTTCTCACTCAAAAATCGATTTTGAAATACACTCAAACAAAAAGTACACTCATTTCGGCTTTCTTTGCAAAAGTTAGCTGCTTTATTTTCCCAACTAACAACAAAACGAACGTCTCACTTTTAGTTTCTCGGATTTTCCACTCCTTCGCTCTCAGCCTCATACAGCCTCTGTGAAGTAGGGAACAAATCAGTGAAGATGAAGAAGATAGATTGTCTTTTATTGATTTCTACTCGTCGATTTTTTGAAACTGCGAGTGCCCCTTTTGCGGAAAGCGCGTTGAGGCTTCTTTGCGTTTGCTGAGTTATCTTTATATGGATATGCTGGACACCTCAAATTGTGGCCAAATCTAAGTAAAGTCTTAAATTTGAAATTGAGTTTCCAACTTGATATCCAAGAATTTTTCGTTTTATCTCATCTTTTTCGAATTCATTTCCTGGCGAAGCCAAAATATTTGGTATGGTGCAGACCTCCAATTCCGTCCAAATCCATGCTGCAGTGATTCCTATTTAATTGTGCCCACTTCATCTAGCTTCTATCAACTTCGAGCATCTACTATCTTCTGATATGATCTACTGACTTCTAAAATCTGCAAAGCCTCCACTTCATCTAGAAGTGCTACTTTTTATCTTTTAGTGAATTCTAACGTATTTGACTTTCATCCATAACGGCCTTCTACGAGTTCTTGCTTCTACTAAGTTCCAGCGTGGTTGTAGAGTACCTCATGATTGAGTTTGACTCGGACAATCCCAAACTTTTGCAGTACTAACTGCTGACAAACTGCTGGCTTCCAGTAAACGGGTCCCCGCTGCTACGTCTAGCAACAATTTGCTAACCACGAGCAGCAGTAAACAGCTCTTAACTATAATATAAATAATAAGGTCGTGCCTGGCAGTGAACAGGAACTGAGCAACAACCTGCTAACTGCTACTGGTGCTTGCAAACTTCACAGACTCCTGACTGCCACCTCGAAGACCACCAAGCAACTGCTAGTGGCAAATAACTCTCCTAGAATTAGAGATAGAAACTAGTGGCAGAGATAAACTGCCAACTTCATGATCATGAACAGACTTCAACTGGGAAGAAGCAACTAGTAGGAACAAAGAGCCCAAACGCGATCCATTTTTCATCTTAAAACGGACGACCATCCGCTCATCATTCCTCTTGTCTGATGCAAAACTAATACGCAGCGGAGTCACTCTGTGCCCTCCTTCGCCGCTCAACACGAGAACAAGACTGAGGCATAAGCACACAATCAGTGAGCGCCATAATCGCAGCAGTGTCACGTTGCAGCCCTACAGTCATTCTGGATACACTATCCTCTGTGACGTCATGTTTTGCTCTAATGTGCGTATAGCAATGGCTAAGATTGCTATCATGTCGGCTAATAAAAATTCCCTATGATACACGACGCCAAAGCAGTAGGTGAGTACGTGAAAAAGACAATGCAAGTAGTTGTACATAATATGTGTATACCAAAAATACCATCCATGATGTTGATGCTAACTCGTGCTACGAAGCTCAGGACAACAAAAGGTCACTCAACATACATATTCGCTTCGTCAGGCTGTGTCGTCCTATCAAGCAACTCGTCTGGGCCAAGCAAAACACGACGAACCGTTGGTACTCGCATTACAACTAGCTGAAAAAGCGCGGCACCGGCTGCAACACCGAGACAGGCCCAAAAGAGCGGCATAGAGCAGAGGCCCGCAATGCGCGTCTCGAGCCCTAACCAAGACCAGCCGTGACTCGCAAACAAGCCTGTGTTTCCCTTAGCTTCGGCAACAACCTCGCCCCACCGCGGACACCAGGCTCGAAAAGCGTCCCGTTCTAGCTCCTCACGACCTGAAGAAAAGCATCAAGATCAATGTCTCTTGTTGTATTAATGACAACTCTGCCAAATGGCACAGGCATTGCACACCAACTTCATCATCGCATCATGTAAAAAAGAGCAGGATCAGAATCCGAATTTCAATGTTAATAGATGTCCTCAGGCAGTAAGTAGGGTATACTGTATGTAGATCAGCAAAAAAAGGCTTTCGCTAAAAAGATTGTCCTTGTCTAAGTACTCGCAGCTGGTGCATCCTGTGGCGTGATTCTTGCTCTGGCAAAGCCAGTGCGGTGCTCGTCCAAGTCGAATGCTGTTGTGTAGGTCCGTAAGAAAACGAGGCCGAGAATCACGGGTACCGGTTGATGCGGGGAGCCCCGTTCGATTGCTGGGACACAGCGAGCCTCTCCTGTTCGCGGGTCTTCAGTACGCAACAGGTACTCAGGCGGCGCAAGGCAGAGCGGGAATGACCCGCCGTGATGATCTAGCAGCGTTACTGTCAAAGGTGCAAGCAAAGCCATTTTCTCACCTACGGAACAGTCGCAAATGCGCACGGTATCTTTCCCTGGATACGCTTCGCAGTTTTCTAGTTGCGTCGTCTCGAAAACGTAGTCGAAAATTGGTTCTGAGACAACCAAAAAACTAGAACCGGAATCTACGAGAGCTGGAGCACCCTCACTACCTCACGCACCAAAAAACGTGTAGGTCGGAGGAAAGGAAGTCCTCGTGGACGATTCTGATTCATCTTCGGCATTTGATGATCTTGCTGTTGAAGATGTTGATGTTCTTGTAGAGGAAGACGCCATTGCTGAACCCGATGAAGGCGCACTCGCACCACTACTAGATGTTTCATGAGTGCTCTTCTGTCGTTCTCCTCTGGTCGCCCATCCAAGCGACAGGACACTCGTGATCCACAAAGACGTCTGCTCCATGTAGTGCCTCTTCCCATAGAGATAAGAGGGCTCGTCCAGTACTTGTTCTGAACCCAATAGCGTTATACTGGTACTAGCACCACCGAAAACATGACTTCTGCTCCGACGAGAAGAACTTCTGCGCCCAAAGACCACTGCCCCACGTTCATCTTGCAGCTGCGTCTTTGATGACTTTGTGTTTTCTATCGTTCCTGTAGTTATCTTGATTCTACTTTTCTTGGAAGTCTTCGCCTTGGACAACCAAATCGAGAACTCCTTCTTCATGTAAGGATGCTGCTCGAAAAACGTTCGGAGGAACGTTTTCGCCACTGCTGGTCTAGGGCCGCTCACGTCGTCAAAATAGTGCGCCAAGCCCAAAACGCCTTCAGCGTGCATCTCATATCCAGCGCGCGTGTGCCGTACACGATCTGTCCGCAGCAGAAATTGCTGCCTCACAAGGGTGGCGTCCTCGTCTTGTTTGTGAGCAACACTTTCAGTGTGCTTGACATTGACGCGACCACCTTCATCTGCTAGTACAGCTACAGCATCTGCTATCTGAGACTTCGAAGAAGTACTGC